GAGAGATACATTAATTTACCAAATATATCAATTAGTAGGCGGTTTCCCGTCAACATTTTTATCATCAGTATTATTCAAAACATATTCTTTCACATGATTGGTAATAAGAGCTTCCATTTCATTTTTTGAAATTGGGGCATTTGCAATACTGGTCTTTACCTTTAAAGTGAAAGGTGTGTGCCTTTCACACTACCCCTTCATTGTTTAGACAGTGGTTGAATACCTACGCATTTCATGCTTCGTGTAGCATGTCCCACTCAAAATAAGCCATTGAATATTTTTGTATTCAAAGAATAAATAAATATAAACTAAATTGCAAGTTAGGTGAGATTACCACCTTTGAAGGAGATATATTGAATTATAATCGGTTTAAAGATACTATGTCCCTTTTTCAGCCAACATCCAATTCCGTAGAACTTTGCAGGAATTATGAATATGTCATGTATGTCCTATCTGTAAAATTTAAACTTTAGCAGTGTCCTAATATTCAAATTATGCAAGGAAATCTGTTTACTTGCTAGACTTCACTGTCAGACACTATCGAGTGACTGACTGGCTTTTTCTTCTTTGGTAATAACAACCATAAAATCAGCTGTAAAGGGTACATGAGCATTTGTCTACATCAATAACCCACTTCTTGTAAAGGCCAAAATTAAACTGATTGAATCTTTGCGCAACATAAAACGTATGACCATTCGGTACAATGGTCTGAAAATCAGACTATTACTTACTGGCTCTATAGCTCTTAAGTCGATTTGACAACTAATAGTTGTTATTTTCCCACTTACAGACATGTTCAAGCCCCCTTTTTTGGGGGGGGGGGGGGAAGTTCTAAATTAGTATTATCTTTCAAATGCCATTGGAATTTAACCTTTTCATTTTTTGGGCCTGCAAATGGGACATACTGATAGTACCTTTAAAGGTACTATGTCCCTTTTGCAGCCAACCTCAAATTCTGTAGAACTTTGCAGGAATTATCAATATGTCATGTATGTCCTATCTGTGAAATTTAAACGTTAGCAATGTCTTCATATTCAAATTATGCAAGGAAACCCGTTTACTTGCTAGACTTCACTGTCAGACACTATTGAGTGACTGACTGGCTTTTTTCTTCTTTGGTAATAACATACATTACATGAAAAGAGTTGTAAAGGGTACGTGAGCATTTGTCTACATCAATAACCTACTTCTTGTGACGGCCAAGATTAAACTGATTGAATCTTTGCACAGCATAAAACGTATGACCATTCGGTACAATTGTCTGAAAATCAAGACTATTACTATTGGGCTCTATAGCCCTAAAGTCGATTTGACAACTAATAGTCGTTATTTTCCCACTTGAAGACATTTTCAAGCCCCACCTTTTTTAGGGAAGTTCTAAATTAGTATTATCTTTCAAATGCAGTTGGAATTTAACTTTTTCATTTGTTTGGCCTGCAAAAGGGACATAGTACCTTTAATAGAAGCAGTAGCAATTAATCATGAAAAAAACATGTGCTAGATCTATATTTGAGTACGGTATTGTACACTGTTCATGTACATGTATATTCCCTGTTACACTACAGTTTAAGGATTGACAAGTTCCTTTGTGAGCTTGAAAATTAGCATTACATTTCAGGGCAAGAAAAAGAAAAATAGTTTAATTTAAAAGACCTAAATTCACCTGAAATATGAGAAAGGGAAGTGTGAAATGGCAAAAAAAAAATTCACATCAAGGCCTGCAGGAAAAAAAGCTAAGAGTTAAAAGTCATTGCACCTTGCCTGGTGTTCAAGTACATTATCTAGTCTACTAATTATTAAAAATCCTGCTGTTTTAAATTTTAGTATTTTAGTATTATTTCTATGAATGAAGCGCTTGTACATGTATGCTTTAAAGAAGAGGTTAGTGATAGGCCTAGATATTAAATTAATTCTTTATGTGCCACATTGTTTTTATCACGGGATAGAATATATACAAAAGGCTTCATGATTATTTAATTGTTTTTAGTGCAAGATTAATCTATACTGGTGTTAAAAGGGTTGTCATGGAGCTGATCAAGATCGAAAATTTGTAATTTTGCAAGCCATTGTGTTACACAGGGTAATCCTTTAATGAGTAAGTGCCTTTTGTTTTGTGCAAAATTGAATTTCTGGCTAACGAGCGCACATTTTGAGATGCAAAGAAAGAAACCAAATTGCAGTAGTTCATATTCTGCCACAATTTATACTTGGTCTTTTGCAGTAGAAAAAAATGAATAGAAGCAAATGCCAATAAAGTCAGCAGCAAGTTCAACCGAGAGCCAATCCGAGTCATGATCCATATGTTTATGAAGAACTAAGACTCCTAGAAAGCCAGGGATTTACTCTTGGATTAACCTCTGACCCCTAATGTTGTCCTACTGGTGCGTGAAACCAGATTTCTCTCGTTGAAAGTCGGGCTATATTGATGGCATTAGGCCATAACTTCTGTTCATTTTGTAATTCAGCCTAAAGTTCAAAAGTGCAAAAGTTCTATAATCAGTGCATTTGTTGTTGCTATCATGTATTTTGTAGGAAGAAGCTAAATCTTCATAACTCGTACAGTTCCCCCTGTATTCACCAGATTAATCCAGTCAAATCTGATTTAGCATATAAAAAGACCACCTGTGTATAAGGACCACATTTTTTGTTTCCCTTGAATATGGTTTCTCATTGAAACATGTACATAAGGAACCTGTACATAAAGACCACCTGTCTATAAAGAACACTTTTCATGTTTCTCTTGAGCGGTCTTTATATACAGGTTTCACTGTTTATGTACATATAGACCTATCCCATAACTGAGGAGATAAACTTTTAACTTTTTGTATTGTGTCATGATCAATATCAAACCTACGATTTTTTTTTTAATAGATCAATCCATTGCTGTTCCCAATTGCGAACATATGTCGTGTGTAGTTAGAGTGGTATTCCATCCAGAATTCAGCTAGGAGTAGTATTTGATCAGTCGTGCCCCTTGGGTGAAGGAAAGGGGCACAACAGCATTCCATCACACATTTGGATCATGCTTTACCATGGAAACCGTAAGCCTGCTTGTCAACCAAGCTCCAGTATTAAAATGGCAGTTTTACTCTGTAATACTGTAGGCCTACGCCGCACATGTACTTCAAACATTGACTTATTTATAACATTTTGTGTTATTACATACATTTGGCTGTCAACCATTGCTATTTTGCAGGAATTATTTCTACTTTTTTGCTCGAAAATTAATGTTATGTATCCTAGATTCCTCTCGATCTTTTGTCAAAACTTCTGTGTAAAAATTTACAAATTTCAATACTGTATCCCTAAATTTTTGCCTTTGGGGGTTCCTTTTTTGCTTTGAAAGGCCGGCAGGTATGTTTAATAATATTCTATTTCTGGTAATTGGGCCTAAAAAAAAAAATGTTGTATAGCCCTTTGCGACCGACCCAAAATTTTTGATATCGACTGTCCGCTTTTTTTAAAAAGTTTTTTTTTTACCGTTTTTTAGAGAGAAAAAAGGCACAGCATTCATAACTTAAAAAATATCAGCTTAAAAAGAGAGTTAAAAAAAAAAAATCAGACCGACCGACCCATGTTTTGGCACCTAAAGGGCAATACAACATCTTTTTTTTGTAGGCCTAATTGGATGATGGCGAACAGTATCAACATAATACATTCATGTTCATGAACTTGCGTGTGCAAACTGTGCATCATGATTAGATTATAGAGGTCGGCCCTTGGGTTTGGTTGTCGTTGCTTTTAGTCTTGGCCTTGGGGTGTCAATGTGGCGATTGAAGCATGATCTTAGAGTCGTTTAATCGTCTGGATTATGCAGCTGTAAGCATTGAATTTGATTGTTCAGTACTCTGTACATTGCATTCATGCATTCATGCAAGAATTAATTCATGGAGCACACTAAGAAATTCACAGTATTCATACTAGGGAATCGCTTGACAACATCTCAAGTGCATGTTTTGATAGCGATGAGTATAAAATGCCAATTTTCCTCTGATTAGACTTTTTGAATAGTGAGGTATTTTGTAAAACTTCAAATGGTACTTCTATCTGGTGATAGGTACAGTATGTAAATGTGTTCACTGATGCGCGGTTCAAGTTGTAACTAATGCTAGATGGTATTAGCCTGTGTGTATAGGAATACAGTGCTGTACAAGTGCAATCAATCATCATTATCATTTTATCATCAAAATTATAATAATCACCATCACTATCATCAGCATTATTATCATCATCGTCGTGACAGTCCTAGTCATTGTCATCACTGTCAATGTCTTCATTATCATAATTTCACTGTCATCGTTTTCATAATCACTTACATCATCTTCATCATCATCGTCATCATCATCGTCATCATCATCGTTTTATCATCATCATTTTCATACATGTAATTCCCATCACTAACATCATCATCATCATTATCATCATCATCATCCGTGTTACATGAACACATACTCCTACATATAGGCAGATGGGCTACAAGGCTACCAATCCTCACCGTTGAAATGAAGTTCACTTTCCCTTTATATCTTCTACAGTTTATGCACATCCAGATGCCAATCAAAGTCATATCCTTGGTTGAGCAATCAAGGAATGTTAGCATTCTCAGAGATGTATCTATTGCAGATACCTGGGTCCTGTTTCATAAAACTCGATGCCAATAACAATTTACAAGCTCCTGTTATAAGCTACTGAAATCCTGGCATCTGATTGGCTGATAACAAATTTGTCATAGAAATTTAGCAGTTGTTATAGATAGCAAGTTTTATGAAACAGGCCCCTGAACTAGTAAATAGACGCCCATGTTTGAATATTTTGTGGCTTTTTAATGGCTGCTGGGACAACAGCATCACTGCGCCTAGAAATAATGTATTAGGCGCGTTATAAATGTGATCTATTATTATTATTATTATTATTGTAAATACACAATGTTGTCTAACAGTATGCGATCTCGGTCAGGAATTACCATTAACTCATCTGATCATATTCTTTCTTTCTTTCAGATTACTAGACACCAACGATGACCTACACAGCAGAGGTCGGCTAGGTCGTGACCAGATGACCCTCGGCCATGGCTTCGTGTTTCTGCGTGCGTCTTGGCAAGGAAACAGTCAAGACGCTCGACTTTCGTCACTGCAATTTGCGCTTTGTACCAGAAGAGATCGTTGAATATGACGAAACTTTGGAGGAGCTCCTCCTGGATTCCAACGACATCCGAGAGCTGCCAAGGGTATGAACTATTTCAATTTTTTTCAATTTCATTTATTTCCACAGATTCATAAAAAAATATAAATTACAATCAAATATAAAAGGATTACAACAAAAGATGACCCTGCAGAAGGGGTGATCAAAAACCACAGAGGTTTATCAGGGATTATCCCCTGCTTAAAATTACAATATCAAAATACAATAATTTAAAAAAAAATTAAACAATAAACACATACAAGAACATTATAATATTAATGACTGCTTTGAGAGAAATAGTTGTTTTTATACGCTCAAGGGAAGGTTAGAATTGTGCTATTACCCGAGGCGTGCCGAGGGTGATAGCCCAATTGTAACCTTCCCGAGAGCATATAAAAACAACTATTTCTCGAATATTAAAGCAGTCATTAATACTTTTATATGCCAAAAAAAAAAAAAAAAAAAAAAAAAAAAAAGAAAAAAGAAAAAACTTTTTTCGAAGATGCGATTCGATCTCTTGCGTACAAAAGGTGATGTAACTAAAACCAGCGCCTTAAACCGCTCGGCTATCGCGCTCTGTTACCAGTCATAGCAGTTTTTTCTTATATAAAAAAAAGAAAAAAAAAACAAACTTTTTTCGAAGATGCGATTCGATCTCTTGCGTACAAAAGGTGATGTAACTATACCAGCGCCTTAAACCGCTCGGCTATCGCGCTCTGTTACCAGTCATAGCAGTTTTTTCTTATATATACATTAAAATGGATTGAAACGGCTTCGCGTGGTGGATGCTTCGCGGCTGCTCCATTAAACAGGCCCTTCTTTTACTTTTGCAATTCATATTGGCACGAATTTAGATCAAGATCTATCGGCAGATGTTGTTTTTTTGTTTTTGGAAGTTTATTTTCGTCTTCATGTCAACAATGCAAGATAAAATTGTCGGTAAGATCGATCGAGATTCAATTGTATTGAAATTACCGACCAATTCTTCGCACACGTACGGTATCCTCGATCGCTCAGACCATTTTTTAACATGTAAACCTATGGGGTAACCATGGAGACTGACCTATTTTCCCAATAACCATGGTTATTGAGATTTTGAACTGTTTTTTAACCATGGTTACCGGGAATTTTCGGGAACAGTTAAAGTTTATGAATGCAATTTCGACCAATCAGATTGCTGGATTACTTAAGTGAGGTATATAAATATAAATATTACATGCAAATGTATGTTTGGGGTGAGTAGTAGTGGGTTGGTGGTACCAATAAATCCAATATATAGAGGAAATGAATGATATACAGGAAAGAAGAAATAGTGAGAAAAATAGTAAGAAACACCGTACAAACTAAATCTTAAGAGTTGGATACAAAATCAAATATTGTTTCAACTTTGACTTGAAAGAATAAGGTGAACTGCAAAGTATTTTTTAGAATATGAGCCGGAAAAAATGTCAAATGAAATGTAATGTTAGATTAATGTAAAATGTAAGCCGCCCACACATTTTACGATCTGACTATGATCCAATATTTGAGGAAATCGCAAAATTACAGTAACTATGGAAACTTCCATGTAAGCAATTATAATCTTCATGAGTTATGTTTTGAATGAAAATATGAGTATTCTAAATCAAACTTTGAATGCATTGTGAGCCTTCTGTCAGCATAAAGGTCATTTTTAGCTTCAAATCGTGGATAAAGGCATATATATCTGATCTGCTGTCACCACAAGTTGGAGCAGTTGACTTTTTCTTCTACAGGGAGGGTTGCAGTACCCTTCAAGGCCTTGAAATTCCAATTTTAGACTCCATGTGACTACTGTGAACCTCTTCAAGATGTTTTATGTTTGAAAATGTTCATTTATTTTACATGTACGGTAAAATCAGTCATGATGGCCTTCTTTCATATCGGCTGCCTGTCTATTACAGCCATTCATATACCGGTAGTTTTCCTTGTGGAAGAAATATGTGTTTTAGAACCTGTTTATAAGGACCATCTATCTATGATGGCCATTTCTTTGGTTTCCATTGATGACCATTATAATCATGTTTAGCATTAATATTCCTTCATGAGAGTATCTGTGTATATTTAAGGCCCGGTCCCACTGCACTTACGGATGCAAAGAGGATGTAAAACGTAACAAAATCTTGCCATCCGTTGGAAAAAGCTATGCATCCGTTCCGTACTCATTGCATTCGTGTTTCATACGGTATATCCATCGAGCATCCGTCCACTGTGATTTCATCCGCGCAAAAAGTTTTGAGCTGCACAAAACTTTTAGAACGGATGAACTTCCACTGTGTACGATGTAAATCCGCGACAAATACGAGCAACAAACGTTTTATGTCCGTTATCATCCGTTATTTAAAACGTCCGCTGTATCCTCTCTGCATCCTCTGGGCATCCTCGCAACTCACATCTGCTGCAGCTGAAAACGGAAAGAGAGAATAAAGATAAGGTACATGGAATGTCTATACATCGTTAGTAGCACGGAAATAGAAAGGCTGTAAGCTTTTGCATCTCGTATATAAAGTATTCAAAGCTGTCATCCACTTCCATCCGCTTTCATCTGCTAGGCTTCCCATGAACATCCGTTTAACATCCCCGCTACATGCTACCCACGTCCGTTATTTTCCGTTCTGTTTTCGCAAATTTTCGCAAATTTTCGCAAATTTTGTGGAGCGGATGAAAACGGATGGAGCCACCCACGAAATTTTGCTCGTTCGCTGTGTCCTTTATACATACATTTTGTGTCCATCGACCAGTGGGACCGGGCCATAAACAAAAAGCCCCCTTTTAAAGTATACTCACCGATACGTGTGTTGCAAGATACAGAAATGTGAATCCCTGTTTGTCATTTTTTTCCCAACATATTTTAGAGGCAGTTCGCCCATGCCTAATTGGAATAAGGCTTCATTATCACCTCATTTTCTTTTCTTGCATGTATTCCTAATGCAGGATCTGTTCCATTGTGAGCTGCTCAAGAAGCTTGGGGTCAGTGACAATGAACTGGTCACTATCCCCACTGCTGTGGCTAGCCTTATTCATCTTGAGGAACTGGACATCAGTAAGAATGGTGAGTGACCAAATAATAATAATAATAGATCGTTCTTATATAGCGCTTTTCAGGACCGCAGGCCCGCTCAAAGCGCTTTACAGATATATATTATTACCCCGGTCATCGGATTCAGACTTACCCGTGCACAATATATGCACATTCTCCAGTCCCTAGGGAGCATTCCAGCCAGGCGTCATTTTTACAAGCGCACACTTGCTAATCTAACCCATTTAACACCTGGGCGGAGAGTGGCAAATGTAGATCAATGCCTTGCCAAAGGACATTAGTGCCACGGCGGGACTTGAACCGTGGATCTTGTGATCCACAGTCTGGTGACATATCCACTCGACCATGACACCTCTACCAATACCCATTCTTTTACTTTTTATATTTTTGTTTGTTCATTATAAGCTACCAAAACCTGAATATCCTCCTCAGTGATTCTGTATGTTTTAGGTGATGCATGTTTTACAAATTGTGCCAGGTAGGACATTAGAACAGGATGATTGTTCAATGTGTGTCAGATATTGTCTTCTAAGTGCCAGGAATGCCTTCTCAGTTCTCAAAATGCTGAAATGCTCTACTTTTATTTATTTTTAATTTGTGGTTATATACTGTTTGAGAATAATTGTCTTCCTTTGGGTTTAGTTTTGATGTGTTGATTTTTTAAATAATATGTTGGTTATGTTTGCAGGGATTGTGGAGCTACCTGACAACATCAAGGGATGCAAGAGTCTGAGACTGGTTGAAGTCAGTGTGAATCCACTGGGAAAGTAAGTTATGTCACCTTCCTCTTCTTCTCCCTTCCAAAGCTTTTGAACTTCCAACTTTGGACCACTTTCAATCTTCTAGACTGTTCCACTGGATTCCGTAGAATCCACCTTTCAAAACAGTAAATTTGTGGTGTTTGTGAGTTGTAGTTTTACTGGATTGTAGCTCATCTGAGACTGATATTTAATTTCAGCTTCCAAAGGAAGTAATTCTGGTTTTATGCTAGGCTGAAATTGAAAGACCAGCGAGCTGATTGTAGGCCAAGGTATAAGATAGAAGTACAATTAACCCCCATTTATGGTATTAAAATTACTCCTAGATGCAGGTTTTCTGTTTTTTCAACCCACATCACCTTGTTTTTGGAAAGGTATATAGTTTGATTCCCTCTACTATTTATTTGCCTACTTTGCAATCCATGACAGAAATAGGGGATGCAGTCCCATGGTAACAAACCGCTTCTGTTTTTAAAGCCCATCTGCACTAGTTTGGCCAGGAGGGATTAGACCACCCGCGGGGTCACTGACAGATGGTTATCTCATCAAATCAGCTCTCAATTAACATAAGAAAAAGAGGATCACGGGGGACCAACAGGTACCTCTTAGGCATTGTAGGCTATATAGAGGGCGCAAGTAAAAAAAAATACAAGTGGTGCAGTCCCGCTTAAAAGACTTTAAATGTTCTTTTTTTCTCTAGTACACCAATAGGCATGAATAAATTTCATCATTCCGCATACCTACATGTACACTCATTACTCTTTTGGGTTGTGGTTTACAAGTTCTTGAAACAAACTTTGATGACAGACTAAGCCCTCACCCTGGTTGAGTTTCCACATCAACGTGGAGCTAGCTAGCTGCCAGACATTCCTGTCTCTCTGCCTCATAGCTTCCATAATAATATTTACTAATAATAGGCATATCTATAGCGCCATCTATCTAGAAATTCTATTCCCAGGCGCAGTAATTATTACTCTGGCTTTAGCCTAGCTGCCATTACAGCGCTCTAGCATTTCAAGGAGTTAATTCCTGCCAGGTACCCATTTACCTCATAAACAATGTTCTTTTGTTTCCAGGCTTCCAGAAGGGTTCACTCAGCTGATGAACCTGAGCCATCTCTACCTCAACGACACTCTCCTGGACTACCTACCCGCTAGCTTTGGACGTCTTGCTAGGCTCAAGGTCCTGGAGCTCAGGGAAAACAGGCTCAAAGCTCTTCCAAAGTAAGGGGGGAAAAAGATGGTGTCTATGGGGGAAGTTGTGGTGTGATGGTGAGGGTGATTATGATGATGATTTTGATTATAATGATGGTGATTATGATCATGGTGATGATGATGATAATGATGGTGATGATGATGGTGATGATGATGAAGTTGATAATACAGTCAAACCTGTCTTAGCGACCACTTGTTCATAACGACTACTTAAAATCCCCGGTGAGATTTCATGTAGTTAAGAACCTATATACAATGACCACCTGCCTATTAAATGCGACCAGTGGTCACTCAATTCAAAAATGTTTTTTATTATAGCAGAAACATGGTCCATGCAAATACAATTTTACATGAAGGACAGCCTCCGCTGGAATATTCATGTTTACATGTTCGGCACAATAGATAACACTTTTAAATATATACATGTCGCTTCCACTGGCCACCACTTGACCAATGTCTTTCGCAGCTAGGCGATCGGCAACACAGCGGCAGCCTATAAAGCTAGATCTAACGGTCATTTACACACGACAAACTGTTCAACCCGAAGCTTTTTTTAAAATTTCGATCAAAGCGTTTAATTCCCTAAAAGATATGGTTTCTTGCACATTTGATTGGACGCCAACACCAACCTGTCTACAGCGGCCACCTCTCTGCAACGGCCACCTCTCTGCAACGGCCACTATTTGTGTTTCCCTTGGACGGTTGATGTAGACGGGTTGGACTGTAATAGTGATGATGTTGATTGTGATTGTGATGATGACAGTGGTGGTGGTGATGGTGGTGGTGGTGGTGGTGATGGTGATGGTGATGATGATGAGGAGGAGGATGGTGGTGATGGTGGTGGTGGTGGTGGTGGTGGTGGTGGTGGTGGTGGTGGTGGTGGTGGTGGTGGTGGTGGTGGTGGTGGTGATGAGGATGAGGATGATGGTGATGATGATGATGATGATGATGATGAAGATGATGATGATGATGATGATAATGATGATGATGATGATGATGATGAAGGTGAAGAGTAGGAGAAGAGTTTACTGATAACAGGTGTTGTTGTTATTATGGTGGTGGTGTAGTGATGATGATGATGATCGATGAGGAGGAGGAGTATGCTGTTGATGAGTATTACTTTGTTTCAGGCATGATCACTTAAATACATGTACAGTGTAACTTTTCCTCCATTTCCTATGTTTAGGTCTATTTCAAGATTGACAGAACTAGAGAGGCTTGATTTGGGGCAGAACAGCTTCAGAGAGATTGTAAGCAAGACCCTTTTCATTTTTATATTAATTGTATTGCTCTGAACCAATTATAATGTTAATCAGCAAAATAACCATGCTCTGTAGTGTATAGTCTATGTTCCCCCCCCCCCCATCTTATTATTGTGTTGATTGCTTTCAACGAATTGATATCTGTGTATCGAACACATTAATTATTCAAAGTAAAAAAGGAAAATGTCTTACTTATTCTTCTCAATGCTAAACAATTACTCTCACATGAAGGGTGTCTGTAATATATATTTATTTTATTATTTAATATTTATTCATTTTATTTAAACAGTGCAACTCTCTCAATATTAAAACTGTTTTCTTGAGAGGACCTGTACAAATTAAAGGTAACAAATACAGAGGAAATTGAACAAATATTAGATACATACATTTGTTTTTGCTTTTATAAGTCATGATATAAACTTGAACAAAAGTAGATATAGTAGATTCTTTTATTTTTTATTTATTTTTAAATGATAGTAGGTTTTGATAATGTTATTCTTTTTATTTTTCTAGCCTGATGTGATAGGTTGTCTGACAAAGTTAACTGAAGTCTGGATAGATACCAACAAAGTAACCCAACTCCCAAAGGTAAAAACTGTTGACTTTGCTACAATAGCAGTGAAGCATGCAATGTTTGCACATTAAAAAAGTCATGTGTCTTTTGACGTAACATAATAGTATTAGAAGGGTATATGACTATACGGACACAAAAAAAAGACCATGCAAGTCATTCCATATTCCTTAGCGTTACAGTATACAATTACCTCTTATTTGGTATCTTGGATATTATCATTGGAAGTACCACTGCGGTTGATGAAAGGAGTACAACTTATCAAAATGAAGTAAAAGACATTTCATATTTCATATGCTGCTTGTGTTAAAAATGGTTAGTCGTGACAACTTGTAAAGCCTGCTAGAGGCTTGTGATACACAACAACAGCAACTAAAGTATGCAAAATGTATTCTGACTGTTCAAATCAAAATAGAACAGTACAATAGTTTCTTGCTCATTCAGATATGATGTGTCAAAACCACCACAGTTTTTTTTTGATGACGGACAGTGTCATATGTTTTACATTTCTGAATGTTAAAACACAGAGCTCAGAGAATATGGGCCAGTCAGTCCTTTGTTGCTTTCAGTTGTCATTCATTTTCCTTTGGGGGGGGGGGGGGGTGGTGCCACATCTGAGCAAGCCTTAAATTGTAATATATTCATGAACTTGTTTCTTATAACAAGCCTTAAATTGTAATATATTCATGAACTTGTATCTTATAACAAGCCTTAAATTGTAATATAGGCATGAAATTGTATCTTATAACAAGCCTAAATAGATCTAAAAGTAGTGTTATATGATGAATTTTGTCTTCATAATTTATTTATTTTGTATTGGCTTAAAGGGGCTGTAGCATGGCAAATACTTGCTAACACAATCTACGGCTTCTTTCGGACAACTGCATGTAAACAAATGGACTTGATTAACTGGGTCAGCTAGCGTTCGCGAAACAGACCGAAGTTCTCCTCGTGCTTCGGTTTCGCATAAGTTGCACGCACATGAATACGTAGGCCTACTGCGGTCGCATTATAGTAGTAGTATTATACCTGATTGGCCCTGAGTCATGGCACGGGAAAGATTTATTATGCTACAGCCCCTTTAATGTCTTTTTGTTAACCCTGTTATTAACTGCAGTCATTTGGAAACCTGACCTGTCTGGTGTACTTTGATGCATCTTGTAACCGCCTTGAGTACTTACCCGCTGAGATGGACCAACTTGAGAGCCTCACCGATCTTCATCTCTCAAAGAATTTCCTCCATCAGCTGCCCGAGAACATTGGTAAGAACACAAGTTTTGAATTTCTTTGGCAAGACATTAATCTACACTTGCTACTCTCCACCCAGGTGTTAAATGGGTACCGGTTGGAAGGAATTCCTTAAATGCTGTGAGCGTCGAAATCAGCAGCCTAGCATAGCCGGGTAATGTTGGAGCGCATTGAGGACCTTGAAAGGTCGATACATGCGCTATATAAGAATCCAATATTATTATTATTATCTTATTAATCACCAACCGTTTAAAGGGATCGTTTAACAATGTTAAATCTGAGATACACAGCCCTACGTGTTATCAGTGTCTGTGATATGATGTAATATTGAAGCCCTAAAAAAATTGCGCTTCAAAATGATCAAGAAGTGCCTCAAAAAAGTAAAAATCTTTGAGTGACCGGTTTTACCATACTCGTTTTCCCCAATAGACTGTAGTGTTATGAAAACCGTCGGGCGAACGGTTTTCAAAATTTGTAATTCCGATCATAAATATCTTGATAATCAGACAGGCGATCGGCTTGTAAAAGTCATGGGGTTCCTGACTGACCTAAAGGTTTATAATTATCATTGCATCATGAGCTAAATCCAGAATATGTTTTCAGAATCTTAGACAAAGTTACCGGATCCCTTTAAGTATAACATTGAATAGGTGGCAATTACTGTGATTTGGGTAAACTTGTTTTCCTTGATGTAAAAGATCAAACACATTTTTGATCAAACTCGTTTAGTGATTAGGGTTCAAAGGGAACTTTCAGAGGTTCACTCTAACCTTATTTACCCGGAAGTCAGTTTTTTATTTTTTAAATGTATTTGATTGAGTTTTCGGTTGAGATGCACAGGAGATGTTTTGATAAGTTGAACAAATATTTGATTGATGAACAATGTTCATCCTCAAAGATAACCCAGTTCCTTTGCCGTGATCAATCCAGGTTTTTTTTTTACAAAGATCCTAAGTCGAGCTTAACTCTAAGTTGGACTTGAAACATTATGGAGAGCCATTTGTAGCCTTAAAAGAAAATATATTCAAAAGCAAAAATTGAAGTATTTTAGACTTTTCATAAATTCCACATCAAGAACATGAAATCCCCTTGAAAATAGAAAATATGAATGATTTGAATCAACATTTTATGCCTTTTCAAATAACTTTTACAAAATATTTTCAAAGATGCTAACGGCTTTCCATAATTCTTTAGTCAAACTTAGAGATAAGTTCAACTTAGGATCTTTGTGAAACACGCTCCTGGACTTCTAATTCATCATGAGAGTGCCTATATTCTCAGGTGATAAGGTATGACAAATGATTGATTGCTTTTTGTCCCCTTTTTACACTATGTACATACCAACAAGAAATACCTATGTGTAGAGTAGACGCTGTGAGGAATTAAAAAAGACAGGAGAGAGAGAGAGAGAGAGTGAGAGAGAGAGAGAGAGAGAGAGTGTGTGTGAGAAAGGGGAGGGGAAAGGTTACTAGTCAAGGAGCAAAGGATTCAACTTAGGATCTTTGTGAAACACCCCCAGGTCAACTAAGCAGCCTGACAACGTTGAAAGCAGACAACAACCAGCTAGCTTCCCTGCCCAGCTCCATCGGTGGTCTGGTGTCCCTAGAGGAGCTCATCTTGAGTGCCAATGACCTGGAGGAGCTACCCCCAAGCATCGGTCTACTGCGTAGGCTACGCCACCTCAATGTGGACGAGAACATGCTGCAGAGTGTACCGGCTGAGGTAAGTACTTGAAGCTGGGTTTTTGATATCACATCTTTGTGTCTGGTGCTGAGACTTGTTTTACTGGCGCTTTGATAGATGTTTCACAGTAATATTGTTACTTTACTTTAGCCAATTGGAGGAAAGGCATTTATGGCTTGTGTCAAATCTGTATCTACCTGCAGGAGAAATATCCTATAAAGACACTCAAACACTTGATAATTATCATATTTTGACAGCTGTGCTCATACTCCAGGTACCATCAAGGTTACATTGATTTTGAAGGCAGAATTTGTTATACTCCAAGAAAGTTAGCAAACAGTTTTCATTGTCGCAAACAGTTTTTCTTTGCCAATTTATTTTTCCGCAAACAGTTGCAGGCGTTTGCAAAGCAGTCGTTAGCGTTTGTAAAACAGTTGTAAGCCTTCGCATATGGTTGTAAGACGGTGTCGCTCTTTGTTATCGCCAGTTCCTTTGTTTCGCCAATGCTAGCGACCACGTTACCCTATAGCTCCTTTATAAAATCGACCCATTGAGTACAAGGAGTTAGCAAAAGGTCTCAAACGTTCACAAATAGTCGTAAAGGATTGGCAAATAGTTGATAATCTTCGCAAAAACTGTCGCTGGCAATTGCTTACTAATAGTCACCAACTGCCTTTCGCAAGCACTTACGGAAACATTCGCTCAAATGTTGCTAACTGTCGCTAAAGGTCACTAAAAGTCGCTGATTTTTGCTTACATTTGTCAGAAAATTTGGCGAAATCAAATTCGCAATGTTCGTAAGCATTCGCCACTGAGTGAGATACCACCTTTAGAGCCCATTGCCGATTGCAGCTCCTCACCTAAATTCATCCATCCAGTTATTCATTCAATACGCAGTATCTTCCAACCCTCACCACTTTTTTTCTTCTCCCCAACACTTGATTGATTGATTGATGATCGCACAGCTCGGTAGCTGCAGTGGGATCACCTTGCTCTCCTTGAGAGGCAACTACCTCCAAGTCCTCCCCGATGAGATCGGCCGCATCGCCAAGCTCACCGTGGTGAACCTGAGTAACAACCGTCTCCAGTCGCTGCCGTACAGCTTCACCAAACTCAAGAACCTCCAAGCGTTATGGCTGTCAGAAAACCAGGTGGGCCTCTTTGCATTTTCGTAATGTAATCAAAGTTTAATAATGCAAATCTTTTCTAAGTGCCTTGTTACAAATATTTTATTTACCTGTTAGAATAATTGTATTTTAATAGTCAGAATGCGAACTGCATACATTTGTTGCTAGGGCAAAGATTATGGCTTGTGCTAACCTAGCAGCACAGAATGTTTGCAATTCGCATTCTGACTTTTGAAATACAATTATTCAGAATACAAATCTCCCAACAAGTTCTATTAACTAAGAAGGAAGAAAGTTGACAGTATTTCTTGAAGGGAATCCCGTCATGATTGTCAGGAGACCTTGAACATGATGATGCAGTAGTAATAGTAATTAACCCTTTGCCTACAGGAACCGGGTGGCTACTGTATTAAGCCTATGGGAATGAATGATTTGAGCAGTCAAAGGATTAAGATGACAGTGCCAATAGTGGTATAAAGTTTAATGAATATAGTGGCATTATCAGTGAAAATGATGAAAAATTATCCTGATTTTTTTTCCTCAATATTAACATTGATGATCATAAACTTAGGAAGTAGTAGTATGAATATAAAGTGATGACAAAGAGGAGAATGACAGTGATAATGGTCATATGTTTGAAGAAGAAAAATAATTCTCTGTAATATTTTGTTCTTCCATCCATTCAGTCGAAGCCACTGATTCCTCTGCAGTCAGAGTTTGTAGATCATATTGGGACCAGAGTTCTCACATGCTTCATGTTTCCACAGCAGCCACAGGATTATGAAGAAGGTCAGATTTCATATTTATTTGTTTTACTTTTAATTCTCAAATATTTAATGTACACATGTTTAAAGGGATTGGGTAACTTTTGTCTCAGATTTTGAAACAAAATCCTGGATTTAGCTCATGTTGCAATGATAATTATAAACCTTTAGGTCCGTAAGGAACCCCATGACTTTTACGAGCCGATCGCCTGTCTGATTATCAAGATATTTATGATTTGAAATTGAAATCAAATTTTGTGTTTTCCTAATGGTTTTCATAACACTACAGTCTATTGGGGGAAATGAGTATTGTAAAACCGGTGACTCAAATATTTTTACTTTTTTGAGGCACTTCTTGTTCATTTTGAAGTGCAATTTTTTCAGGGCTGCATTAACACCATATCACAGACACTGATAATGCGTAGGGCCATGCATCTCAGATTTAACATTGTTAAACAAAAAATGACTTCCATTTCTAACTGCACAAATTCTACTATATATGTACCATTCATTAATCTGATTTATTACTACATAACTTATAACCCTTTCCCTCCCCTTTCTCACTCTCTCTCCTGTCATTACATTATGAGCCAGAGCAATATAATACTGAGTTCCTATAGGAAATCTACTTATTCAGACGGTTATATCTCAGCCAATACTTAACATATTCAATTGGTTTTCTATATTAGGACATTATTTTGTATGGTCTTTTGGAAATGAAGAAAAGATTGAGAAATTCCAAAAATAGAGTTTTATAATGTCACAGCTTCGGTACTCTATGGAAGCCGTAAGAATTCTTGTGCTACCTCATATCGTATCTGCGCATGCACCGACCTGTTGGAGGAAGGTCACCATCTACCGTCGAACATCGTCTTTGCAGTAAGGTCAATTCCTCACAGCATCTACTCTACATAATAGGTATTTCTTGTTGGTATGTACATGGTGTAAAAAGGGGACCAAAAATCAATCATTTGTCATACCTTATCACTTGAGAATATAGACACTCTCATGATGAAATAGAGGTACAGGGGGGTGTTTCACAAAGATCCCAAATTGAAATTCTCTCTAAGTTTGACTAAAGAATTATGGAAAGCCGTTAGCATCTGAAATATTTTGTTAAGGTCATTTTAAAAGGCATAAAATGTTGATTTAAATCATTCATATTTTCTACTATCAAGGAGATTTCATGTTCTTGATGTGGAATTTATAAAAAGTGTAAAATACTTGAATTTTCGCTTATGAATATATTTTATTTTAAGGCTACAAATGGCTCTCCATAATTTTTAAGTCCAACTTAGAGTTAAGTTCGACTTAAGATCTTTGTGAAACACCCCGCTGGAGTATTATGTCACAAGGATATCTCCTATGTTTGTTTCTCTCTCTCTCTCTCTCTCTCTGTAGATTCGTATCTGAGTGATGGAGAGAGCTTCCATCAATCTGTGTGGGAGCAGGAGAGAGCAAAAAGATCCAAGATTGTATTCGACGTGGAAGAATCAGAATCGGAGGTACGCCATGAGTCTATGCTAGATACTCATGACAATGTTTTTTTAATAATAATAATATTGGATATTTACATAGTACACATATCCACCATGCATGGTGCTCAAGGCGCTCCAACTATTACCCCGTTATGGGAATGAAAATTTACTAGATTGTTTGTTTTATCTTACTGCTAAGAAAGCATGTGTACTCTTTTAAGTAAGCAACCAGGGGACCGATGGATTTAAGTCCGCTTTGAGGGACATGGTAATGAGGATTACTGCCTTTTACGCCGGTTACAAGACCACTGCTCTACCACTGAGCCATCGCGTCACTTAGTTAAGGATTTTAACCATATCCAAACTGATCCTTTACCCCCCCCCCCCCTTTTTTCTTCTGTTACAGCATCACAAGAACACAGCCAGGGCCACCACCCCGTACCCTAAGGAGACCATCAGACCTCGCTTTAGAATGGGGGTCATTGCTGCCCCTTCAAATGGTCACATTCCAGGCAAGAAACCCAACCTGAAGGATAAGGTCCAGAGTCCACAGATGGAACTGCTCCCAAGCAAACCCTCAGTTGATACAAGGGTATGTTAAGAAATTGTCCTTTGTCTGTTGGCATTTCTAGAATAATGCATAATGCTGTTCATGCTGTGTCAAGGCGATGTAGATGCAACACAAGATGTTAACTAGTCAACATTTAAGTGTAGAAAGATTTTTAAAAGCCTGTTTTATGTCTTATTTTCATGGAAAAACGGTTGAGAAAATTCAAAAATTGCGGGTTTGGAGAATTTACTGTTAGAGGGTGTCGCACAGTGACGCCTTCAAAGAAAACCATAAATATCTTTGTGGTTTAAGAATTTTTCAGGTTTTTTGCATGTTAGAGGGTTAGGATGGTAGAAGGAATATAATGAGTAACATTTCATACAAAATTATGCAGTTTTTTCATCAATCTTCAACAATGTTACCGAGTCACTTTAAAGCCAATCCATACATGGGATAAAATGTCATTGAATTAAAGATAAAGACCAGTTATGGGCATGCGATTGCATTGTCAAAGAAACGTTGTGGAATCGATCAGAAAAGGTTGATCATCTAGCATATAAGTATTGGTGTGTACTACAAGGTTCTGGAATCATCAAAATGATAAGAAAGTTGGCCCAGTCTTGGTAAAGTTACAAACACTGTACACAGAAAGATGTATATGGGACTACACAAACACGTGGCGTAAAAATCCTACCCTGGAGTTTTACGATGTTACATGACATATTTAGAATATGAAGGCATTTGAAGAGCCATGCTTTTCAGGGAACATGTCTTACATGTATCTGATGTTCTTCCACACTTGCATAATAAGAATGATAACGCTCACAAATTATTTTTCACCTCTTCCCAGAACTCAACCTTCTCTTTAAAGCCAATCCATACATGGGATAAAATGTCATTAAATTAAAGACAAAAATGTGTCCTTCTTTTTGAAACAGGGTTCCAGACGGGTCCGAGGGAGACGTGAGCTGGAGCTGGATGGGATACGGATCAGAGAGGCAAAGGTCACCAGGCCCAGGTCACCGGGGTCAACCATTACTGACAGTTTGCATCTATTCCAAGCTGATAAGGTGAGGAAACTTTTTTGATTTTATTTTATTTCTGCATTTTTTCCAAATATCATAACAAAATAACAAAAAACATATAAACGTAAGGTATAATACAAAATATACAAACAATGATAACTTCATGTCAAAATGTCATTTTTTTTTTTTTACATATGTACATATAATAACGAAACTAAATATTTCTATAACATATTATTATAAATTTAGAGTATTATCCAAACTATCAGTTGAAAAAGTGCCGGAGACCGCAATCATAAGCGAAGCGTGACTAGGATTTGTCGCCATTTTGGGCTGTGTGATATTTACTAGTTGGATTACTTTACACACTGAATGGGTCTTACATTGTACACATGGTGTAGTCTGGAAGAAAATTAAAATGAGTTAATTCTCCTGTAAAACATCCTTTATTTTGAAATTCATTATTTCATGTTCATTCTTTAAGAGCAGTATAATGTATTGAATTTTTTGCATATTACTTCTTGCATTAGAGAAATTAACTGTTTTAATCAATTTCAATCAATTTTGACAATCTCAAAAATGTGTAGAGTGTCATTTTGAATATCTTATGGAAAACTGATCAAACAAATGATATTTCATTTATTTCTCTTTTTTCATTTTCCACATTCCAGTTAAAACACATGCAAATACAAAATAATGTACATTATAAAATACAAATGAATACGTACATAAGGAGATAAACAGACAGAAAAAACAAACAAACAAACAAGTAAGTGACAAAGGGGAAAATAATGAGTATGTGGAGGGGCAAAAACAAAAGCAAAGTTGCTAGTCAGGGATAAAACTTGTTCAAAAATGAAAGGGGGGGGGGGGGTCGGTCATTGGATTATTACCATATATATATGTGTAGAAAGATTGTGAGCATTTATTTTATTTCACGAGTTGAGGTACTAGTTTTTTCATCTCTGAGGTTGGAATTTAATAACTTCAGTAATCACATTCTTCCTCAATGTCTATCCATCTGCCACAACTCTTGTCATCCCTTGCAGGAGAAGCGGGCCAAAGACAAGGCACGTCTCCGTCGAACACTGAGTGCTGAGAGCGATACTGAAGTTATCACTCCAAAAGGGAAAGGGTTCTTCAAGAAGGTATGAACTAATCACTGTCATGTCTACTCTTGCCATGAGATTCATATTATTTTCAAGATTAACCCTTACATGAACCTGCAAAGTAACAATTTTTTAATAGTCCATGAGGTTGTTAGAAATGTATTTGTTAAAAGCTGCAGTTCATGTAAAGTATTACATTTCTTTTTGTTATACCATCATCCAATCTTTGAAAAATATGGAAAAAAAAAGAAAGAATATGTATTTCATTGACAGTCATTCTTTTGACTTTTATTTCCAGTCCAAACATGACCGTGGAGCCCACAGTGACACTGAGGCCATTGACCCAGAGTGGACATCCAAGACCAACAGCCAAAGGAGATCACTGACCATCGAGGACTCTGTCGGTCAAGAAAGAAGATCTTCAGTTGATTCGAGCCGGACACCGCTGATGGATGACCACAGAAAAAATGACATGAAGAAGGACAGAACTTCCTCTAGGCAAAATGGAAGTGCCAAGCACATTCGGCGAAGTGATGGTGTGGTAACCGATTATGGATTTATTGATCGAGGACAACACGGAGGTGATTTTGTGGATGGCCGAGGAACAAGAAGTGGTGAGATTGTGCAAAATGGGAGGAGGAGAAGTGATGTGCCATACGGTAGCAATGATCCGAGGAGAAGGATGGGTAGGAATATGAACCAAGATCCAAGGCTAAGTGGCACACCTGTGTCAGGCAATGTGGCCTTCCATGGGAAGAGGAATGGACACCCGCGACGATCAGGTTATGGGACTGATCCTGAGCTTGAGGAGCTGTACCATCACTCACTAGAAAAGGACTCTCCCAGGATGCAAATAGCCCAGTACCATACACCCTCCAAGAAATCTGGTTACTCAACAGACCCTGATCGCCGCACTCCGCAAAGCGGAAGGGCTGCTGCTCCGGGTGGCAATAAGCAAACTAGCAATAAAAAACCTGAACCCCATCATCCACATTCAGGGTATGGTACTGATTCTGAAATCATGGCGTACAATGGTCCTTTTGATTACACTTCTCCTGCAGAAGATCATGGAAGATCTTCCAGAGTTGCTCAAAGGACCCTTGATAAACGGATTGATTACACACCTCCTGTGGAAGATCATGGAAGATCTTCCAGAGTTGCTGAAAGGTCTCTTGAGAAACGCATTGATTACACACCTCCTGTGGAAGATCATGGAAGATCTTCCAGAGTTGCTGAAAGATCTCTTGAGAAACGCATTGATTACACACCTCCTGTGGAAGATCATGGAAGATCTTTCAGAGTTGCTCAAAGGTCTCTTGAGAAACGCATTGATTGCACACCTCCTGTGGAAGATCATGGAAGATCTTCCAGAGTTGCTCAAAGGACTCCTGAGAAACAGAGTCGGATACCAAAGAGGCAACCTGAAGCTTACGATGATCGCAAAGGACAGTGGGTTGATGGCAAAGGGTATGTGAAAGAACTAAATCAAGAAAGAGTTGGTGAAGATAACGATGAGAATTTGCATTGGGCGTACCCTACATTTGAGTCCAATAAAGGCACTGGATTTGATGACGAACAAAAAGTTGAGAAAAGGGATTACACGGAGGAACCAAGGGGTGGTAATCATGCTAGAACAAAACGATTTGATAATTCAAGTGACCTTGGTAGACGTGCTATGGCCAATGCTGTCATGGAAAAGGGAGATGGACATCCAAAGGAAGTAGGAAAAGTGGATCTGTCCTCAGAGACGGAAAGCCATCAAGAGCTGCATTGGGACATCTCTGAAATTCTTGGTAGTTCAAGTAGAACACCGGGACAGTTGAGTACTCCTGCCTCCTCTCCTCAGAAATCCAAGGCAGACAGTGTTGAGCATGTGTTCATGGGTAACGATGAGAGACCAAAGAGAGACAAGAAGATCAAGTCTTCAACTCCGGAAAATGAAAGGCAGAGTGAGAAAATTTGCACAGTTGTAAGCAATGGATCTGTTCCAAATGTAGCACTTACGCTTGAGGATAACATGTTTGGTGTAGAAAATCAAATGACAAACCTTGAACTAAGATCAAACATTGATGGCCCCAGGGATGGAAGACCTCTTCCACCCTATTCCAAGAAGAGAGATCCCAACTTGTCTCTACCTCCAAGTCCTGCACAGCTGGATCACAGGGACCCTTCGGCATCACCCATTGACGTAAAAGCAGGGTCAAACAAAATGTCACAACTGCAGTATTACCCATCAAAACATAGAAGTGATTCTCCACTGCCTCACCACAGCAATAGAAACACTCCTAACGACATTGCCCCAAACACTAGAACACATCTCAGGAACCAAACCCCCAATCTCCACATTGTAAACCAAAATATGCTGCAGAGCGAGAGTCGAAAACCAAGTGATCATTTGACTAATCAAATTGCAAAGCGAGGAGCCATTCCAACGTATGACGAAGCTGTGTTGCGAAGGAAAGACAGTCTTGGAAAGCAGCAGTCCCATTCCTTAAACTCACTCACCAGGGACATAAGCAAGCAACTGAAAGTGTACCCTATACCAGTGGCAGCTTCCAATGAAGACCTCTTGTCTACCAAACAAAAACAGGAGGCCCATTATACAACTCGGGCTAGACCTTCCAATGAACGACTTAACGATGAGATAGATGATTATGAGATCATCAGTGATTGGCATCAGGGTCCTCGAGCGAAGGATCATGAGTTGCAGGGGCAACCTCATGACAGAAAACCTCAGTCGTACCCTGACACCAGGCAAGGACAAGACAGCAAATTGAAAGAACAAAGTAATGATGATGCGTTGTTGCATCAGAATCAAAAGAGATCAAGTACCCCAAGTAGTCAGATTCCGAGGCATCTATCAGAGAGAACCGATATGTTACAGAAGCAACGTTCTGCAGGTGATGCTGGATATCAACAGAGAAGTAGATATGGTCAAAGGGAACAGGTTAATGAAAACTGGAAGCAAGAGGCTGACGTTAGTAGAAACATTCCAAGAGGAAAATCTCCTTTACCACGCTATGCAGCTCAGAGAACACCAACTGCCAAGGAAGAACTGCAACATACCTACAAAGATGGAAGACAGTCGTATTCAACAGTCCATGACCACAGGCCAAAAGAGATTGATCACATCAATCAAGAAAATACTCAGTACCGCAAACATGATGAGAGGAAGTATTCTGATCGTACCGAATCAGTTCCAAACAGACACAGTGATGCTGATCACCATGACCAAACAGATGGAGTATCCGGCAGCCAAAGAGACATCAATCATAACAGACCTCAAGACTCCGCATACATCGGACAGAGAGACACCAGGTACAGTGGCCAGTACACCCCTACCTACAACCAGGATGCAACCCCTGATCAATTTCTGTCAGCACCATCTTATGGGGAAAGACAGAGTACCAAGGAGAGTCTTCAACCTGTTGAAGTTAATGATGATAATTGGAAGCACCACCTACTGAACAAGCTTGCCACAAAGAACTTGACACCAGTAGATGACGAACAGGTACACGTAAATACAACTTTTAACTATTGAACAAGTTAGAAACCAACATATTTTGTTATGCTTCGATTATACACAACAATGGAACAACACTCAACAGGTTCAGCTAGATCAGAAAAACAAAAGCTGGAATGCGTACACAACATATACCTTTTCAGGACTCCTCAATCCTCTCTCTCTCTCTCACACATGGTGCACCCGCAAGCCTACTGTATAACATATACCTAATTCACCTTTGGGTTGCCATGACTGTGCTTCCTGCCCTGTCTATGCGTATTGGTTGATTTGTGAAAAGTCATTCTGTCAGTAATGAATTGATTATGAATTAAATGGTTTCTAATTTGTGATGAAGAACATACTCAATACTTTTGATCCTCCCTTTATGCTGTTCATAAAAGATGTCCCCAAGTTACAAGGCAGTAGGGTTGTTGATATTCCTGACCATATATTCCAGCTTCTTAATTACTCTAATATAATCCTCTCCATTAGACCCTGGTATCTATCCGACGTCAAGGAGAGAGCACCAAGTCCACCGTACAGCAGAGAAGGCTGCATGTTCTACGAGCAAGAATGCAGAATGACTTGGTAAGAATCAATGTCGCAATGGGTGATCATCTGCAAAAACTTGAAGCTCAGGTTATTTTTTATTACAGGGCCCCGTCTTACAAAGAGTTGATATCAATCGCAACTTATTTGCAATGGATATCAATCGCAACTATGTGCGTAAGAGATAGGAGTTTGCAAACTTGCGATTGATTGGAGGACTTGTGATTGATTTGGATCAATCGTAACTCTTTGTAAGACGGGGCCCAGATCTCACTAAATGAGTCTGGGTGGTTATCAAAAATTGTTTTGCAATATTTTTTGATAAATTGCATGTGCAGTATGTTTTAGGTTTGCTCGTCAGTCTTGCAATCCTTTTGAGGTTGGAGAGACTGTAACACATTTTATTTTGTATTTTGTCCCCATGCAGAAACCTGGTGATGAATCCATTGACGAGGTGTTTCACTCTCCCTCTCTGCCATCCCGCTCCCCTGGCTTCAAACCCCAATCCCATGTCCCACCCAACAACAACACCCACCACCACCCCCATCCCCATCCCCAGTACCAATCCCAGGACAAGCAGACTCCGGATAGCACCTCCGGTATCAGGAACCGCCCTCACCACCACCACCACCACCACCAACATCCCACTCCTGACACCCACGAGTCACCTGGCCAGAAGCCATGGCAGGATGAACCTGTTAGGAAAGGGCCTCCACCAGGATATCACCACCAGAGGGACTGGTCTCCTTCATCCTATGAAAAACCTCCTCAGATGATGGACCATGTGGATGTAGCAGAAACTAGGAGGGGTATGTGTATAAAGCATCACACTCCTGACACCAATTCACAACATTCTTTTTTTCTTCCATTTTTGTCCTGAATATTCATTCACTTTACACATTATGATCTGTAATGTAAATGTCATTGCTCTGTGTCTATAAAAGTAAGGTTTCTTTTTCAGTGTTATCTTATTTTTCCCTTTCTTGTTTTCTGTGTCACTTTGTTTTTCTGATCTCTCTCTCTCTCTCTCTCTCTCTCTCTCTTTCTGTCTTTATCTGGCGAAAAAAAATACATGTTTCTGTTCCATGCATCATCATTTTTTCTTTGTCCCTTGCTTTGACAGGTACCCCGCCAGGCAGTTCAGGAAGCTCCACCACTGGTTGCAATGGGCGTAACTTTGCCCCCTCTCCCAGCCTCCAGCGGCGCCTGCCCCCCTACCATTCCACTGTCGCCCAATCCCAATCTCCCCTTCCTGTCAGGAGAGCTGACCCAGATGGCATTGGGGGCCCCAAAACGGTAAGTGGTGACCCACCCACCCCACCCCAACCCTCAAAATAGATAGGAGGTTCACAAAATCAGGGGGGTGTTTCACAAAAACTAAAATCAACTTTAAGTCGGACTTAACTATGGCAGGCCATTCATACCACTGGTTGCTCTCACTATTGGTCTCTCAAGTATGATCTTTAGATAATATTTTATCCTTCAATAATGAACTATCAACAGATGTAAATTCTGTAGATTTGTGACCACCTCCCTTGAAGGACCAATGCCAGTAAATGGTGAAAGCAAACAGTGGCATGAACAGCCTGCCATAGTTAAGTCCAACTTAAAGTTAATCTTAGTCTTTGTGAAACACTCCCCTGGAAGCAAATTCAAACGCACAAAAATGTTGTTGATGTTGTTAGTTCATCGCAAATTTACAACATTCATAACAGGGTTTAAAATGTGTTGTACTGTGGTGCAGAAACAGCAGTGATATCACTAGTTGGCATTCACACACTAAGAGCTCACGCTCTGGCGATGATGTGAATTTTTCAATTGGTTGCAATTTAGAGATATATAATTGTGTAAACAGGGATGCCAGTTTTTAGGCAATAGCCTGAATTCAGGCCCTGCTTATTTTCAGACTATAGTTTAGGCTTTTTTTGTGTACAAAATAGCTTATTCTAGGTGATTTTCATGCCCTCTTACCATTTCTTACTGGCATCCCTGTGTAAAGCAGCATAGTAGTTGGATGGGTTTTGTGGGAAGGATAATATTCTTGAATTATAGGCAATAATTTACTTCACACAAAAATTGGGCATCCTGGTGGTGTTTCATAAAGCTGTTCGTAAAGTTACGCATGACTTTATGAACGACTTGTATTTGAAGTGCCAGAGAGGATGCCCAAAGTTTTTTCTGATATTTCCAATAACTTCAATTAAATTATGGCAAAAAATATACTTTGCATTAAAAATGTTTGTTATAATAAGAATGTTAAACTACATCTGCACAGTTCAACCTTAGTTGATGCAGTTAATAATGATTGAGCATCCCATTTGGCTTTTCATATACAAGTCTTTCGTAAAGTCATCCGTAACTTTATGAACAGCTTTATGGAACACCCCCCAGATATACCATTAGCAAGTTTGAGTTACGAGACCATCTTGGGAACTCCAGACACTTCATATTTGTTGTTCTCCTTCCTTCCTTCCTGTTGTCAGATTCCATTGGTAATCTATAAGAACCCTGGCCTTGGATTCAGCATCACTGGAGGTCAGAATTCTCCTGGGAATCCTTTTCATCCTGAAGACATGGTATGTTAACACTGGACATTAATTGATGCCATAATCAGTGCTCGTCCTACTACTATTACCTTTACCATTGCCAGTGCCTTACTGATGCCATGTGCATGAACCATTTTAATTATATTTGCTATTGCATTTACCATTATAAATGCTGTTATTTTTTCACTTTTACCATTGCAGTTACTTTTGTTCCTGTTGTTTACCATTTTCATTAATTTTGCCCCTAATGTTATGATTAATTATCTTATCTATTGCTGGTACTATTATTAAAGGGGAAGTCCACCCAGATATTATCTTGGTTTTCATAAAAGCAGCAAAATGAGAGAAACAGGTCAGAAGAAAAAAAGTAAAAAAAGGAAGAACCTCTTCTCCAATTTGTTCTGCACAGAAAATTTCATAATCAACATAATATCAGAGAAGACTTCTCCTTTAATGCAAAGAGAATTATCAATTAGTATGATTATCATTACCTTGAATATTGCTTTAACAATAATAACCTTCCATCTTATCACTGCCAGTTACCGCTGCCAAAACCATTCTTCTGCCATTGATTTTTTGTTTTGTATCTATTGCTTTTTACCATTCCAGGGGGGTGTTTCACAAAGATCCCAAGTTGAACTAATCTCCAAGTTGAACTTAACAATTATGGAAAGCCATTAGCATCCTTGAAAATATTTTGTAAAAGTTATTTTAAAAGGCATAACACGTTGATTCAAATTATTCATATTTTCCATTTTCATGAAAGATTTCATGTTCTTGATGTAGAATTTATAAAAAATCTGAAATAGTTGAATGTTCTCTTTTGACTATATTTTATTTTAAGGCTACAAATGGCTCTCCATAATTTTTAAGTCCAAATTAGAGTTAAGTCCGACTAAAGATTTTTGTGAAATGCCCCCCAGTTGTAATTGTATTCTACCTTTGCAACGACCATTAACAGTTCTCATATGCACACTCATTTTTTGTTTACAATTATTATTGCCATTACAGTTCACATTAGTAAGGCTTGACATTAGCGGGTGCCCAGAGCATATGATTTAGTACCGGGCAACTGCTACCCAAAAAAACTAACGTAAGAGAGTTGGTTGCCCTGCTTTTGTTGCCTTGCTTTGGTTGTCTGACAAGGGTATAAACCAAACTTGAGAATGGCACGTTTGTAATATTGAGTGTAGTTTTATCACATCAAACAGGAAGAGGCTGGGACTGATTTGTGTGTGGCCATGCACAGTGTGAGGACGTTTAGACATTGATGCATACCTGCATACACTCTGTCTGTGTGCTAGTGACTGAGATCTGTTTTGAATGTGTTACTTCATTAAGAGTGCTTTTCACTGTAGCAAATGAAGTTGGTTTGTAAAAAGGTTCCACAAGCACACAAATAAATGGAGTCAAAGTCTGTTTCAAGCAGTTCAACTACCATTACCATTGCCCTGGGCCTTTTACTATTGGTATTACATCTACATTCATGTTCTCTTTTTTTTATATACTATTCATACCGTTGTCATTGCTGTTACATTTCCAGTAGCTTCAATAGTTGCTGTGATGACCTTTGCTGTTACTTGTAGAATTACTATTATCACTGGCATTGCTGTTTTCTTCGCCACAGGCATTACTTCTCCCAGTTCCTTGGACATTATTTATTCTGCATTGTAAATTGATATTACAAGTACCGGTACAGAAGTAATGGTACAGAAAAACAGAACCCATGATTTAAACCTTAACCTTTACCTTCACCTTTTGCCTTATCGATGTTGTTGCAGTTTACCTTGATGTTATTTTATACTTGCTATGTTCATGCTTTGTATTTTTGACCACACCGTGACCATTTAAAAGGAGCCCCCATGATCTTGGCTCTCTATCTTTTGAGCTCTGACACCTAATTGTGCCCACACAATGTTGCAGTGATAATGTTATCCTCCTGAAAAAAAAAAAAAAATCATCCTTCTAGATTTCACAAGATATTCCAACCATACAGAGGAAACTATTTATTTTCCTGATTAGGATGTTTTGTCCTAAGCCCAATGTTCAGATGAATATTTACTTTGAAAGTTTGGACATCATTCCAATATTGATCAATTTTTATTCTCTGAAAATCTTGCATTTGTAGAGAATCATTCCAATATTATCATTTTTTGTCCTCTCTGAAAAACTTGCAGTTGTAGAGAATCATTCCAATATTATCATTTTTTGTCCTCTCTGAAAATCTTTCATTTGTAGGGAATCATTCCAATACTGATCCATCTTTCTCCTCTTGTTGATAGGGTATCTTCGTGACCAAGGTGCAACCAGACGGTCCTGCAGACCATTGCCTGCTCCCTGGAGACAAGATTCTTACCGTCAACAACCAGGACTTTGTGGACATTGATCATGAGCAGGCTGTCCAGGTGCTCAAGAACAGTAACCCGGTTTCAATGGTAGTCAGCAGAGAAACATGAGGAGCTTTGTCCAGCCTTAATTTCAAGAACCAGGACTGTTTCAGCTTAGATAATGAACAGGCAATCTTTGCCCTCAAGAACAGTAACCCAGTAGTTGTGATCACCAGGAGAGAAACTTGTGATCAAGGTGCAACCAGACAGTCCTATAGACCATTGCCTGCTCCCTGGAGACAAGATTCTTACCGTCAACAACCAGGACTTTGTGGACATTGATCATGAGCATGCTGTCCAGGTGCTCAAGAACAGTAACCCAGTTTCAATGGTAGTCAGCAGACAAACATGAGGAGCTTTGTCCAGCCTTAATTTCAAGAACCAGGACTTTGTGGACATCGATGATGAACAGGCAATCTTTGTCCTCAAGAACAGTAACCCAGTATTTGGGGTCAACATGAGAGAAACATAAGAGTATTAGGACAATATTTGTGACCAAGGTCCAACCTGATGGTCCTGCCAACTGCTGTCTGCTTCTATAGGAGCAGGAAGTGTTTAACAACCAGGACTATGTTGACATCGTTCATGAACAGGTAGTCCAGGTCCTAAAGAACAGTACCAATGGTCATCAGCAGATTACCATAAGAAGATTATATTTTTGACCAAGATACAACTGGATTTTCCTCCTGACCATTGCTTTCTTCCTGGAGACAAATTTCTCCATGTGAACAACCTGGGACCCGTTTCACAAAGCCTTTTTTCAATGACAAATCTGCGGATAACCAATCAGAAGCATGGATTTCAGTAGCTAAATAACGAAAAGTGTCATTTGTCACTGATGACAAGTTTTGTGAAATGGGGCCCAGGACTTTGACGAAATTGATCATGAGCAGGCCATCCAGGTCCTCATCAGTACTGAAACATGAGAGGAGTGTCCAGCCCTAGTAGGGAGAGGTTTACTCCGAAGGGATCCTTGTTATGTGTACAAACTCCAGATGAGTTGATGATATCCTTCAAGAGGCTTTGATATACTTCCAATTCAATATCCTTGAAGACCAACACATCAGTTCAGGGGGGTGTTTCACAAAACTTGTCATCAGTGACCAATAACAGATTTTGTTATAAGCTACTGAAATCCTTGTTTCTGATTGGTTATCACCAGATTTGTCACTGATTTTTGCCATTTGTCATTGAAAAAAGGCTTTGTGAAACGGGTCCCAGGTGCTGAAGAATACTAACCCAGTCTCTATGGTGATTAGTAGAGAGAACATCTACTTGGTTTTGAACCCACTACCTTCCAGTTCCAAGACCACTGCTCAACTACTTAGCCATCTCGCCTCCTCATGTTTTTATAGAAAATCATGAATACACTAATCTGAATGAAGGAGGCTGCCTTATAAGGGTTTCAATTAATATATTAAAAAATGTAGTCATTGAACGTAACTATGAATAAGTGCCTATGCAAAAGTGTTCTTCTGTCAGATATGAATCAGCGAGAAAGATAAGTAGAGAGGGCAGAAATTCAAAGAGGTGATGTGTTTTCCAGCAGAAATATTCCAAAGTATGCAGCTTAATTAAGAACCGATAGAAATTTTTAGTAAATAATTACAATGACCTTGAAGAGTTGCTGTCATAGAAATGTGACGAATCAGTACTGATTTTTGTATTCGTTTTTGTATTCACTGTAAAAATAGCATGCACCAAAGAGAAAGAGCAGACTCTTTACTTGATATCTATTTGCACATCTTGTCTGTATCTGTGTTATGTTCTTGTGGTTAGTTTGTCAAGTGTTTGTTAGAGGTCGTTTGTCAGTTTGTTGGGACAAAGAAGTTACAGTATCAGTTAATCTTCATTTGCATTTTCTGTTGATTATGATTTCTTTTTTAATAATTCATTTAACTTTGTTAACGTGAGATTTAACCAAAATATAATCTCTATTAAAGCTAAAGACCAGTTATGGTCATGCGATTGCATTGTGAAAGAAACGTTGTGAAATCGATCAGAAAATGTACTGCAAGGTTCTGGAATCATGATGATAAGAAATTTGGCCAAGTCTTCATAAAGTTAGAAGCACTGTACACAGAAAGATGTATATGGGACTACACACACGTGCCCGACACGTGCATTTCATATCTCTCAACAGGCGAGAGATACACTAATTTACCAAATATATCAATTAGTAGGCGGTTTCCCATCAAAATTGTTATCATCATGTAATATTCAAAACATATTCTTTCACATGATTGGTAATAAGAGCTTCCATTTCATTTTTTGAAATTGGGGCGTTTCCAATACTGGTCTTTACCTTTGAACTGAAACATTCCTGATAGTAAGATTGGTGATTTGGAAAGTCGCTAGGCCTTTTTGGAATACAAAAATCTGAAAGCCTTGGTAATTATCAACCGATTCATGTATTTTTGTCTGACTTCGCCTTATAGTTAAATGTGGTGGTGTGGTTTACAGGGCTATACAAATAGCACAAAACAATTAGATTTATATCTTGCATGTAAATATTCAATATTGTATATTTTGTATATATTACTCTGAAAAATATATTCATAATAATTATGGCATTTGATTTTGTTCAACTAACATGGAGCTTAATGTGGGATATTGACAAGTGACTTATATATGCCTTGTATCGGAAGACATTAGAATAGTAAGTTTAAATTGATGATTTATTTGTGGAGAATATATGCTGTGAAATTGTAAAAGTAAAACTTTGCTTTGGATTAAAGTCTGTGGTGCTATTTTGCAGATAATATTCACTCTCGGTGTAGTACTCTCTGAAAAAATCTGTTGATCCAGGTCCATGGTTTCATATGATAAATGGGATTGTGTTTTTACTGTTCAGTAACAGTTCATTAAGAGTCGATGATGAGAACATATTTCCTCACAATCTTGTATTATCCAATATTTCACCATTGTCTAAAGGCATTACCTTGAAATAGCTGCAAATAACTGAATTGCCTTAGGTGTGTCACTAAGTGCAAGTATGATTGTACAGAAGCTTTTTTCTAAAATAATTGTTTATGAAAACAATAACTGTTTTTCTAGCTCACCACAGAAGTTGTGATCAGAATATTAAAAAAAGTTATATTGTATTTTGCCTTTACCTCCTGATGTTTAAAAGGTATTTAAGGTTCAACTTGCTCTGTAGAATCATCAGGTTTATAACAAATAAAATTGAGATGAATCTCTGCAATAACAGGACATAACCATACATATCCTTTTTTCGTCATTTGAAAATGTCTAGAAATATTTCAAAAAATTAGGCAAAAATGTCAGATGCAGGGTATCGGTATACTCCTGTTTATGAAATTTACATGCATTGGATAACCTTTGTAAGAGACCATTTTCATGATGCAATCAAATGTAATGCATGCCATAATGTTTGTCCTACCTAGCAACAAGTATTGTATGCAATTTGCATTCTGATTATTGATATACAATTACATACCTGCCAACCCTTACAAATAATCCGTATTATTCTGTTTTTCTGGATTTCTAGGACTTGAAAAAATTCATGTGCCACGATTTAAGAGTTCACGTATTGTGTGCGTTGAAGGGCTGCATGATCGAGCAGCGAATTTGTATTCGCTTTTTGGTACAGATTTACTGCGTATTGCCAGCTACACTGCCGCTGCAAGTGCGATTTCTTATTTTCGATGCTAACAATTCCTAATTCTTTTTATTTCAAATGTTGGCAAGTACCGTATGCAATTATTTGTAGCAGGTAAATAAAATGATTCATAACACGACACTTAACATATATGTGTGTGTTAAATTAATAAATAAATTAGATTAATATTAAGAAAATGGTCTATTCAGTAAAATTTAGTCTCACAGGCATGGTGACTTCATCAGTTGCACATCGACATCAAGATTAACGATTGAAGAGTGTTACAGAACGCAAATCATTGAAATTAAAAGACATCAGATATATGTAATAAAAACATTTATTTGGAGCTTTGTTAAAACAAGATACTAATGTTAAAACAAGATACTAATGTTAAAACAAGATACTAATACATAATGTGCCAATGGTTGATAATGACTTTAAATTTTTTTGTTACCATAGAAAAGTCTGTATTCTTTGCTTTGTTGATAGAATTATTTATTTCGACTGGAGACAATACCTTGTATGAAATATATCACTGCTCCTGCCATTTTATTCATTATAATACCTGTATTCGAATCCTTTTGATATCCGACTTTATTTATGTAGAACCTCTAGACCTTGTATTTTGCCTACGTATTAACTCCCTTTGATACAGAAACTCATAATAAATTAATTTATCAGAATAATTGTCAAAAGTTTGAGTTTTTTTCCATGATGGAGTCTTCTCCTGGGATTCTGACAAATTGAAAATAGAGAGTGAAAAACAGATGTTGAAACTGAAAGAGAGAAAAAGAGAGAGAGAGAGAGAGAGGGCCAAGATAAGGCCAAAACAAAACAAATCATCTGGTTGTCCTCGACCGCCCGCTCATCATTTTCGGGCTGCTCGTATTTTTTTTTTTTTGGGGGGGGGGGAGCAATCTTTAACGCCAAACATACCATTTTATGCATTTTGCAAGTGTATTGTGTAGTATCATTCGAAAGTGTGTTTATCCCCCATGATACTTTAATAACAAAGCGATGATTATGCCATGAATATATTAATATTGTATTAAATGTTGGCTTTCACATGAGAACCACAGTTAGAAGACATTGCAGTAAAATGAAAATGGGCTTTAAACCACAATGATATTATTGCCTGCTGTCTATTGAAGATCTATGGAGAGCTCTGAATTACACACCAGGGGAGTATTTCTCAAACATCCTAACTCGAACAGTTGCTCAAGCTTGGGTATATAGAGGGCAGCACACTGAGCCAACGGGTATTACACTCCCGTGCGTACCAGTGTCCCTTTATGCGTAAATCCGTACGCGAAGCCTGTTGGCTCAGTGTTCGCAAATTTGCCTACTTCAGGAACGATTGTATACCGACGAACATCTTTAACTCTAAGTTGGACTCAACAATTATTGAGAGCCATTTGTAGACTTTAAAAAAATATATTCAAAAGCGTAAATTCTAGTATTTTAGACTTTTTATAAATTCCACATCAAGAACATGAAATCTCCTTGATAATAGAAAATATGAATGATTTGAATCAAAATTTTATATAACTTTTCCAAAATATTTTCATAGATGCTAACAGCTTTCCATAATTTTTTTAACTTCAACTTAGGATCTTTGTGAAGCACCCCCCCCCCTCCCCCCCTCCCCCCCCCCTGCTTCATTATTTCTTGATCCTTTTCCATGATGACAAAATATTAATTTCAACTGACAGAATCATGATCTGAATTCGAGAAAAAAAAGTTTTAAAAGGACACACATCTTGTAATATCCAATTAAAAACATTGTAGTAGTCTTTACATAGTAAAAGAGTCACTCTCTGCTAATATAAGTGTCCATAACACCAGACAGCATTTGAAGGGCATCGTTCAGGAAAGAATGTCCTTGTCAGCAATCTTGCATGGAAACTTGCTTGCAGTTTATCCCAACTTCAAAGTTTTCTAGTATTCTGGTTGTCTTTCAATGTTCTGTCCTTGGTGGCATTCGACCACACAAGGAATCCTATGAGTGGTACTACCAGGGCTTGATCGCTTTATACATTGCTTTATAAGTAGAGACTTGCAGCGAAGACGATGTCACGCTTGATCTTGACAATTCCTGTAAGAAATACAGACATAAATATGATTTATTTTTATTCATATGCACAAATACTTCTTGCCACACACAACAATAAATATAACTGGATATGATTTTCCTACTGATTTGAAACACGACACAAACAACGAATAGTAATTGATGATAAATGATAAAGAAAAACATTTAGTTCTCTCTTAATGTAGTTTTTGAGTGGAGATCTTTATAGATTTTCTGTACTCAAGATGAGATTTCCTTGTAGCAGTTGCTACATATCAGTTTCTTCATTCTAACAGCTCCTTATGAGATTACCAGAAATCTTGTAAGCTTTCTAGAGAAAGGTGTCCACCTACCTTCTGCAAACTTGTTCTCCAGTTCTGTGTTGCCGATGGCCTTGGCCGCGTGGCACATCTCCTTCATGAGCTCCTCCAGACGTCTCATGCAGCGGATAATGCTGCCCTCGAAGGTGTCTGTCATCTTGCAGATCTGGGAGAAGGAGGCCCCTGAAGCCCAGGCATAGACCACCTCCATCAAGGTCGACTTGAAGGACATGACGTAGTCTTCCTCATCGATCTCCAGTTTGGCTTCCATGCTCACCTTGGCTATCCTGCGGGCAGTGTCCTGTAGAGAGGAAGGGTTTTGTATATGTCATGATTATCAGGTCAGATATTCATAGATGTGGTATGGTTTGATGGTTTGTTTTACCCGACTGCTAAGAAAGTGGGTGTATGCTTGTAAGTGGGTTACCGTGGTTGGATCAGCAAGTGGGGCTTGTAAAATGGCGACTGGCTAGAATGCTCCCAGGGAGTGGAAAATGTGCATACATTGTTTGCGGGTAAGCCTGAATCCGATGACAGGGGTAATAATATGTGCTGCGTCTAGAAGCATAGTATCAGGCGCATTATAAATTTGAGCTAATATCATTATTATCCCTACCTGGAGTTGTCTGAGTGCTGTTGCCACCTGACTGGTGAGCTTAGGTGTCTCCTTGCTCTTCTCCTCAAACACAAAGCAGCTCATCAGGGTGACACATTCCTCGGCAGTCAGGGGGTTAAACAGACCGTTGAAAATCATTTCCGTTAGCACAAGCTCATCAGCACTGCAACACAAGGTGGACAAGAATAGGAATCATAACATTTTTATTTTTGCTCAGCTGAAAGAACTTTCACTAAATATTTGTAGTTTAACACTGATTAAAAGCTTGAAATTTGTACACCAAAGTCTCAAATTTCTGATATATACATAATTAAATCATATTTCGCTAATAATGCATTTCAAATAGATTTCACAAGAAAAGCTACTTTAGGGAAGAAAAAAAAAGTCATCTTCGAAGACGTGCGGTCCTAACTTTACACCTAATACTTTTTAGTGGGGTTTGGAAAGGGGGTTCTGCCAGATGAGTGGGAGCAAATGAGGCATGACGGCTCAATGGTAGAGCAAAGGTCTCATTTGCGGGAGGTCCTGGGTTCAAAACCAAGTCGATGTGCTGGTGCCCTGTGGTAAGGCATTAATCCTCATTACAAAGTCCATCAGAGAGGACTTCAAGCCATCCGTCCCGTGCTTTCTTAGCATTCAGGTAAAACAAACAAACAAAAAAGTTCAATTGCACACAAAAAGATTACCATCCACAGATTTTCTGACAAGCGAAAATGAAAGTAAGTGGTCTTTATTTAATAATAATATTGGATATTTATATAGCGCACATATCCACCATGCATGGTGCTCAAGGCGCTCCAACTATTACCCCAGCTCTGCTAGGCAGCAGATTTAGGTGCTCACAACGCGGCATTCAAGGAATTCCTTCCTACCGGTACCCATTCAACACCAGAGTGGAGGGTGGCAAATGTTGATTAATATCTTGCCAAGGACATTAATGCTGTGGCGGGACTCGAACCGGGGACCCTGTGATCCACAGTGCAACGTTCAGGATGGTAAGCATTATTTCTGTTATCTATCTATCTGTCTCACGTACCTGCTGATCTCACAAGCGACACGCCCCTTTGTCTCGATGACATCAGCTGGGGTAGCAAAGCCCATTCTCCTGATGACCCTCTTTCTGCATTTGAGTTCGTCCATCTGGATGATTGTCCTGGCTTTCTTCAGCTCTCGTTTGGCTTCCCTTATCTGGTCTGCAAGCTGTCAAAAGTCAGAGTGTTTAATAATTTAGACTCTATCTTATGTATCACAGACTCAACTACCTTGAAGTCACAACTGAAATCTTACTTGTTAAAAAATACTTTCTGATGTCATTTAAAGTGCATTATTTTATACAGTAAGCTTGCGGGTGCACCATGTGAGAGAGAGAGAGGATTGAGGAGTCCTGAAAAGGACTCTCGGTAATCTTTCTTGAGGGTGTGTAGTCTTGAAAAAGACTGTTGGTTATCTTTCTTAGCTTATAGTTCTAAGGAGAACTATAGTGCTTGGAGAGGATGAGTTGAGGGAGTGGCTCGACGTTTCGAACAGGTTGACTATCCATCATCAGGAGTGTACTTATCATATATTAAACTACATTACTATTTATCATTTGTTATCGATTTTGATTTAATGGAACAGGGCCCAGGCCTGGTAGAAACAAGATTAGACAGGAGGGTAACATACAAGTTTAAAAAGGGGCAGTTATTCAGAGGAGGGGGAGTGAAAGAGAAGTGAAATGCACATGAACAGAGATGAGAGAGAAAGACATAGGTATGTAATGAAGGAGGGAAAATCTGCAAGCAAAAAGTTAAAGGTAATACAAAGTTTTGGGAAATTTGAAAATTGGCTAGATAGTGATTCTTTACAATTTTGATATATTTGGATGACCCTGTCGATGTATTATAAGCACTAGAAAATTTAGCCGCTAAAACACTTCTGCTTTTGAGAAAAATTGAATATCAAATAACGCTTACGGCCATACAGCGGTAGCTGCGACCATGAACATCTCAGAATATGTAGTTGTGGTATGTAATTTCCAAACGGGGATAGCCAATCAGTCGATTTTAGTCAAGAAACATTGTTTTATGGCTTAATTAATATCTTGACCTTGAGAGGGAGCTATACAACATAAACAGTTTATTATTTACAATTTCATAACTTTAGACACGATTTCAACTGCGACAACGATTACTGAATATTGTAGGATAGCATGTGCTTCCAATATGTTCATTTAAAGCAAATTCAAGACCCCATACCAAAACTTTGTATAACCTTTAAACGACATGATACAGCAATCTTACCTGTGCTTTCTTCTCATACAGACCATAGAGCTTCTCTAACTCAGGGTCGGTGTGCAGTTTATGTGAGTACATTCTCTCCTCAAAAGCCTCTACTTTCTACAGATATAAACAAAGGGCAAAGAAAAGACATTATATAAAAATTTGAGACCGTCATTGTTGGTCAAACAGTTTGTGAGCGTCAAGTAACGCCCGGCTGCAATGCTCCCCAGGGAGTGGAGATTGTGCACACAGTGTGTGCGGGAAAGCACTGAATCCAATGACCGGGGTAATAGTATATTTGTAAAGCGCTTAGAGACCTATGTATTAAGCGCTATATAAAAATTAAATATTATTATTATTATTATATGATATATTACTTGGATTTTTCTGTCCATGGATTAAGCTTCCTTTCACTTTCGCTCTTGCAGTTGTTACATAATAAATATAAGGTTGCAGATAGGTACATGAATTTAAAAAAAAAATAAAATAAAATAAAAAACAATCAATCTCAATACATGTACCTTCTATTTTATCGGGGCTACTTCTCTTTTCATTTGACTTTGTATAAATGATGTTTCAGGGTGAATTTACCCCATGCTGAAAAGGAATATGTAGCCGTCCACGGAGCTTCTACATCTTTAATCTGTTATGACTCGTATTAGCTAAAAATCTGAAGATCCCCTCAACGATCAAACAATACATGTATTTTTGATGTTTGTGCATAAATTTTAACTCATTGATGAATTATGCAAATATTGAGAAATAATAAAAATAACAATCTATAAATGTCTCTAAGCACAAATTATTATCTTAGTTATTGGATTCATTCATGCACAATGTACACCATCTCCACTCCCTGGGGAGTATTCATATCACATGGTCACCATTAAGGCATATGGCAATTACTCACAAAGGCTTTCGTCATCCTACCATGGCTCTCCTGGGTATGGAGTGGCAATATAGATTAATGCCTTGCCAAAGAACATTAGTGCCATGAATTAGTGCTGTGAAAGAGACATATTCCTGGAGGTATCCATTAAAAAAAGATGTAAATGTAAATGAAGATGTCACCTTACCTCTACCACTTTTCTGAGTGCCTCGTCTTTAATGCCCATGTCCTCCACAGGGTCTAAGAGGGGTAGGCCATCAGGGAATCTTCTCTGGACCTCCTGCAAAATGTAAGTGATAAGAGATATGTCGAGGAATAGCCTTGCATGTGAGTCTGTCCACTTTTACTACCATCCTCCCTCCCTCTCTCTCTCTCTCTCTCTCTCTTTCTCTCTCCCTCCCTCTCTGTGTCTGTCTCCTTTCCTCTCTTTATCTCCTTCACTATTTCTCTATATCTATCACAAATGATGTAATTACTGTCTTGTATACCACACTCTCTCTCTCTCTCTCTATCTCTCTCTCTCTCTCTCACTCACCCTCCCTCCCTCCTTACAGCCTTCATCTCTTTCACTCTTTCTCTTTATCTGTCACCAATGATGTATTTACTCTCCTGTATACCACTCTCACACACAACCATACTGATTTTACCCCCATACTTCATCTCTGTCTGTCTATCTCTCCTTCTATTTCCGTCTCTTTCATTCTCTCTTTATTTCTCCCTCCCCCTCATTTCTCTTACTCCCACCCCATCCCCCCCCAACCACTCTTTCCTTTTTTCCTCTCCTCTCCAATCTCATCTTCCATCTAGTATCTTGTCCTCATCTACCCCCATCTGTAACTTGTTAATATACTTCAAGCAACTGTTGTTATGCATACCAATGGGACAGTTGATGTCAGCCCAAGGAAAGAGCAGACAAATGAACCTACCTGAATTGACTTGCCCACGCTCTGTCGATTGTCCGGAGGCCTTAGGTCTTTGGGCAGGTAGACTCGGACACTGCTCACCTCACTGATCAGGTGAAGCATTATGGGTACAACCTACAAAATCAACCAACCAATCACAAATCAATGACATTTTCAATACTCCCATTTAAAAGAAATGGAAAACAACTTTCTATTTCTCCTCTGTGAGCAAATCGTAAGCCGTTTCCATGAGAGTCCATTTCATTAAGATGAATGTTTTCACCTCGATTTTAATTTTTTTTTTTCAATTGATTTTTTTTAAAGGCACACTGTCCTACTTGTAGCTACATGCTCCCTCTATATAGAAAACTTCCCCAATCGGTGCCTGTTGGTCCGCCATGATCCTCTTTCTCTTATATTAAATGAGAGCTGAGTTAATGAGATAGCCACCTGTCACAGTGACCTCGCTGGCTCGCTGGGCGGTCTAATCCCTTCTGGCTGAATTAGTAAAGCCTGCCTTTAACATTCCTTTTGATTTGTATATTTCCTTCATACAAATATATATATAGATATATATATAGATATATACAGATATATTTTTCCTGTATAAAAATGATGTTAATATTTAAACATGCACAAAACTGATAAGTTTCGAACAATGAATGTACAAAAAACATATAAAAAGAGTCATTATATATTTTTATGTTTTCTTACCTCTTATTTCTTAAATGTATTTACAGAGAAGAATTTTAAACAATGACATAATTACATATTTCATATCATAAAGAGAAATATTTCACTCATTGTTTGTATTTCTTTGTTATAATATTGAAACATGGAAAAGCGATAGAGATGAACTATAGCTCACTGTCATCTCTCCTTTCTCGCCCTCCTTGGGTGGCTTGGCCGATTCCGAGGCTGCGTTCTTGACGCTCTCTTGGGAGCAGTTGAGAAGGACCTCTGCAATGTAGAGGGGTGAGTCGTCTTTGGGGTTGTTCATCTTCTGGTTTGCTTTCCTCCGGAAGTTCACGACCACGCCCCATCCAAAGAGATCCTCGCCGTTCTTTACCTTAAAGGTAATACAAAGTTTTGGGAAATTTTGAAAATTGGCTGGATAACACTTCTTTACAATTTTGATATATTTGGATGCCCCTGTGGATGTTTTATAGCCACTGAAAAATGTAGCCCCTAAAACACTTCTGCTTTCGAAAAAAAATTGAATATCAAAATTTACCGGTACTCCCAGTAAATTTCGATAATTTTCAAATAGCACCTACCGCCAAACATAGCTGCGACCATGAAAATCTCAGAATATGTAGTTGCATTATATAATTTCTAAACGGGAATAGCCAATTGGTCGATTTTAGTAAAAAAACATTGTTTTATAGCTAAGTTGATATCTTGACCTTGAAAGGGAGCTATACAACGAAAAGAGTTTATTATATCCAATTTCACCACTTTAGACTTGATTTCAACCGCGACAATGATCATTGAATATTGTAAATACCCATATGCTTACAATATGTTCATTTGAACCAAATTCATGACCCCATACCAAAACTTTGTAATACCTTTAAGCACAATGGGTAAGATGACTTAAAATATGACAGTATTCTTGACAATTAACTCTTTTGTGCCACAAAGACTTTCAAGAATTAAATCAAATTATGACTGCTTCATTTCATGATCAAAGAGGGCATAAGATACCTCCTGTGGCAATTCATTGTCTAAACAAATCCTTCAACACTCAAATACATGGTTGGCATTAGCGTAAAAATGTGTGCAAATGTCACCAGAAATGTTGATTCATCCACAATTCAAAATGGACTCATTCAGAAACTTAAACTTCAAGTAATTTCACTTTTTAATTCACTTTTTCATCTGTCAATTCCATCTCAACTACATGTACAATAACCTGGCTGGCTGCATGGAGGGTAATTCACTAGTGACTCATTCAACAAGTTTAAAGGGATTGGGTATCTTTGTCTCAAATTCCAAACAAAATCCTGGATTTAGCTCATGCTGCAATGATAATTATAAACCTTTAAGTCAGTCAGTGTCAGAGTAAAATGGGAAATTTGTTCTTATTTTATTTGTTTTCCTATTTTCAAGGTCATCTAGACATTAGAGGGCGTTAGTGATAGAAAATATTTCGCTTGTCTGAATATATGCAAATTAGGGTGTGGTGCCGTGAATGCTTAAAGGTGTGTACGTGTGGATTTAAATCAGTGCAGTTGACTAGAAGACGGAGGTTGTAGCTGGACGTGTGAGAGGTCTTGAACTTGTACCCTTATGTGTGTTGTGGAAGTTGCTACCAGAGCCTTGATTTTGTATTCGGCACAAGCAGTCCTTTTCCTCAGGCGACACCGGTACGAGAGGTATCCTCCATGTAGCCCAGAACCTTGATTTTCCTGCCATTGGCAAAACTTTGTCAACATAACTGTAAGTAGTTTTCTATACATAACCTATGTGTGAGAATGGATTCAGATAATTTACATATTTACAGTGTGCAAGAAGCACCACGTTAGAGCAAATTAGCTTTTATGTGTATCAAAAGTAATTATTCACGAACACGTGACGAAAGAGCCGTTCATGAACTTTCGTTCTCCTGAGCGTCGTTCGATAGGGATAATTATATACGTTTATTGATATAAATGCTTTAATGCTTCATGCATACATTTTGAAATTATAGGTAAAAGAACATTTCATTTTGTGTTAATGAATTAACGCAGTATAACGTAGTAGTAATGATGAGAAACAAGTTATTATTGAAATTGTTGTGCTAGAAATGACTTAATTTCTCTAACGAATTTTTATTGACATAACGAAATTCTTATAATGATTGATTAAGTTTGTGGGTCATCATCCTTCCGACACAAGTCTCCAGGGATCTATTCCTCGTAGAAACCATGTCGGTTTTGGATCTTCTGATATAGCAATTAAATCTTACTTTTTGCCCGGTCAGTTAGATTGGTGACCCTAGTTAATAATGAAAAGAAAGTGTAGTGGAAGGAAACCATGTTGGTTTTGTTATAACCGGATAAAGAAAGTCTGGTGAAGTAACCTTTATTATTTCATTGTTTGCTTTATTCGAAAATGATTATTAGAAATAAGTGTTGAAACCGTAGAAATTAAATATCATGTATTTTGAAGGATATATTGATAATTTCATTTATAGCCGTAAGAGCGGACAAGAACGTTCTTCACTTCTAACTAGTAGCACGCTGAGCGTCGTCAAATTAGCATCCAAGCATCGAATCGTCGAATTAGCATCCGAGAACCGCCGAGTCAGTATATCCGCGAGCTTGAAGCACGTGACCGATTGCCGTAACAAGCGAGTACGGGACATCAACCTTCACAAGTCTCCAAGCATCGAATCGTCGTAGGAACCATGTCGGTATTTGATCTTCTGATATAGCAAATACTAAGCAAAAGGCTTTCGCCTTACACATGTATTTCGGACAATTGTCTTAATTTCGGACACTTTAAAAAACTGGGAAGTTAACTTGTACGGAATTACACTCGTGGGTATTGGAGTAATTAAATGACTGTACGTATTTGTAATATTTGTGTAACAGCAGATTTCTATGAATTGGGAAATTAACTTGTACGGGACTACACTCGTGGGTATTGGAGAAATTAAATGACCGTACGTATATGTAATATTTGTGTAACAGCAGATTTCTATGAATTTAGATGTTGATGTAGTTGTCAATAAACAGTCTGTAGAATTCATTTATGAGAGTGTCTGGCTATTTTGTATATCCGGGGAAAATCTTGACAGTCAGGAATCCCATGACGTTTACAAGCTGATCGCCCGTCTGATTCTCAAGATATTCATGATTGGAATTACAAATTTCAAAATCGTTTTCCTAACATTTTTTAAACACTAAAGTCTATTGGGGAAGATGAGTACTGATATGGTAAAACCGGTCACTCCAAGATTTTTACTATTTGAGGCACTTCATGATCATTTTGAAGCGCATTTTTTTTTAGGGCTTCAATATTACACCACATCACAGACACTGACAAACACGTACGGCCATGCATATCAGATTTAACATTGTTAAATGATGCCTTTAATTGCTATGTCATGTGTTTTTTAATAAACTGAACTGAACTGAACTGAACTGAACTGAGTCACTTTAAAGCAATTACACTGATCCCCTTTTTTTCCTTCATTATTATCATTTGGAGCTCACCTTGAGTAACCTGCCTGGCTGCATGAAGGGCAGACAGTATTTGGGCTTGGTGATGAAAGCCTGGATCTCTTTGGCAAGCTTCTTAAGCTGTTGTCTGATCTTGTAATAAGACTCCACGCTGTCCTCCTGGGGTATCGTCATGGTGTTGTACTCCTCCTCCAGCTTCCGCAGCTCTGCAGCACCATGGCAATGAGGATAACAAAACAATGACCATAAATAACTCACCAGAAATCTATTTTGTCAAGCTTTATCAAATGAATGATGCATCCGGTAGCTTTTCACAGGTATTATTTAAAAACATAATACAAATAATGAGGAGTTGAGTGAGATACACCATTCACAAATGTACATGTAATATATTTAATGTAAAGGGCCTCAGAAACTCAGCTTGAGTAGCCAATTATTAGATTTCAAAAAAAAATATTGACTGGAATTAATAGAGCTGGGCGCCAAAAGAGGTTTTATGTAGAGTGCTAGTCCTGTGTGCTTGCTATGTATAAAACATGTACATGACAACTTCACCAAAAGTTAAAGATAAAGTTGAGTTCTGGTCATGCCATTGCATTGTGAAAGAAGAGGTGTGGAATGGATCAGAAAAAGTTGATCATGTAGCATGTAAGTATTGGTGTGTACTGCAAGGTTCTGGAGTCATCAAAATCATAATAAATTTGGCCGAGTCTTGGTAAAGTAACAAGCACTGTACACAGAAAGCTATATATGGGACAACACACATGGTGTCGTGGCTAGTACTACCTTGATTTTCTTGTCTTTCTATGCTCAATACTCAGCCAGTATACATTTTCTACCAAAATTGTTTGGCAAATGACATTTATTTGTAATCTTGAACATTCAGTGTAAGTTTCGTTTGATTCTGTTCTTTTTTTTTACCAGAACTCAAGTTTATCTTTAACAGCATTTTCTTGAGTAATTTTTTCTTTACTCACACAAGGCTGTTGAACGACCAATGCCCAAATCAATAATTTACTACCGGTACTTTAATTCAATCGAAGCATGCTGCTTTCAAGACTTACTCTCAAAGAGCTCTGGAATGGCTGTGTAGCTCTGGAACTGGAAGAAAGACCTCTCCAGCATGTACTCTGGGTTGATGCCTTCGACCCTCAACAGGTTCATCACCATGTTGTAGGTCAGATGGAAGGCACTGTTCAGAGGGTCCGGCTGACCCTGTGGGGTGAAAGGTCAAAGGTTAACAGTAGTAAAATTTGATATATAGATTTTCTATCTTGCTTTAAGTCAAATTACATGACAAGAATTATGGGGACTATGACATTTCTAAACATAGCCATGATTATGCCCTGACAAGTAAGATATATTCAATCAAACTGTTTCAAAATTTATCAGGACTATGACATTTCTAAACATAGCCATGAATATGCCATGACAAGTAAGATATATTCAATCAAACTTAAGTTTCAAAACTTTTTTGAAGGGTGTATGACCCAGTCAACTAATTTCTTGTGTCCTCTGTCTCCTATTTAAACACAAAATGAATTTTTAAATCATTTGCTACTGATGACTCGATGTAAATTACCTGGAGAATGTCCTTGCCGACGCCAGGGCTCATCTTCTCATCGATCATGAGGATGACGATGCCCCTGTCATCTAGACCACGCCTTCCTGCACGCCCACTCATCTGAATGTACTCACCAGATGTAATCTGTTGAGGAAGAGAGACGACAGGAATAGTAGTAGTAGTGGTAATTATTATACCTGAGAAAGTAAGCAACCAGGGGACCGACGGCTTTAGGTCGTAAGGATTAATGTCTTACCAAAGTGCACTAGCGCATCGCCTTGGTTTGGAACCCGGGTCGCCGGATTACAAGACCACTGCTCTACCAATTGAGCTATTGCACCTCCTCAATGGATTGAAGGTAGGGCACTAGTATACAATGATTTCAGATCTTGGAATGCTGACTGGTTACAGTTACTTTGGTGGCCTTCTTGATGAATTCATCTCATACACTCACTCCCAAGCAACTAATCACTAATTAGCAATCATCCACCACCAATCAATAAAAACCACACAGTCACCAGTCACAAGTTACCATCCACCAGTCGAAAATCACCATTCATCAAACGCCAAACAGCAGTCATCAACCACTATCCAACTATAACCAAGCACTAATCATCAATTACCATGTACACACGCGGGGAGGCGTGATGGCTCAGTGGTTTCGTAACCGGGCGGTCCCTGTTTCTAAACCAAGTCGATGCGCTTGTGCCCTTTGGTAAGGCATTAATCCTCATTACCAAGTCCCTCGCCCCGGAGAGGACTTTAAGCTGTCGGCTCCCCGGTTGCTTAATACTTACAAGCAAACATATGCTTATTTAGCAGTCAGGTAAGACAAGCAAACATCTATCATTAATTAAGTTATCAATGAGGGATCACCATTCACCAATGACTAATAATCCTCATCAACCACTTATCATCAGTAACCAATACAATCACCAATCAATGTGAACTTTTGACTTGTGGCAGATGATTTATGATCGTAATTTAGGCCAGTTTATTTTCTTTACATTCCAATGGTTCTGCAAAGGTCATGAACAGCATTATCAACACAGATATCTTAAACACCCCTGAAACTCACCCATCTAAAATCCTTGCCATCAAACTTGCGTGGATTGGTGAAGATCACTGTCCTGGCGGGCATGTTGAGACCCATGGCGAAGGTCTCGGTAGCGAAAAGAGCCTTGATGAGTCCTTCAGAGAACAGTATCTCGATGGTCTCTTTCAGGATAGGCAGAAGACCGGAGTGGTGTATCCCTACTCCTCTCTTCAAGAGTGGCAGGACATTCTCAACCTAATACAGACAGGGAAAGAAGAATAATAAAAATAGTTCATTCTTATATAGCACTATTCAGAACCACAGGCCCTCTCAAAGCGCTTTACAGATATATATTATTACCCCGGTCATCTGATTCAGGCTTACCCGCACTCAATGTAAGCACATTCTCCACACTCTGGGGAGCATTCCAGCCAGGCATCATTTTTACAAGCGCACACTTGCTCATCTAACCACATTAACTTTTGCATCCTACCGGGTACCCATCTAACACCTGGGTGGAGAGGGGCAAATGTAGATCAATGTCTTGTCAAAGGACATTAGTGCTGCAGCGGGACTTGAACCGCAGACCTTGTGATCCACAGTCCGGTGACATATCCACTCGACCACAACACCTTTACAACACCTCTACACTTCTGTCAAAGTCTGCGATACACAAATTGATACTTTGACCAGATTTGTCAAAAACACACTAAAGGTTTTGTCTTTTGATCAGTAGCTAATATATATTGTTTCATGCTGTACATTTGTCTTTAATATCAGTAATATTGCCAAGACATGTTTTGTGACTGCCTTCAGGCCTTGTTTAACAGAAATAATCTGAAATTTCAGCACACAATATCCAGAGAGGCAAATTGAAAACAAGAATATGTGATAAAGCATGCAACATCTTGCATTTTTACAACAGTTCAAATGAATGATCCTATCATTAAAGTGTGCAATATGATCGCTCTATCCATGTCCCATGGCTTAAATGCCGTTGGGGCAACAATGAAATGGACCTTGAGACACAGGTTCTCCATTAATTCCTGTCTTCAGCTGTTCTAGTTAGCTGTTCAAATGAAACGCCCATCCACCGCTTGATGTCACCAGTCCATGTCCTAGTTGGTCTGCCCCTCTTTGTTCTCCCATCAGTTTCTCCTTGCAAGATGGTGGTTGCCATTTCTTCGATCTAGTTATATTCTATATGTTATACTCTTATCCTGCCATAATGAATACAGCCTAATGCCACAGGGCTAATCCCCATTGTGCCAAGCCTCAAATCCCCCTGTGCCAAGCCTCAAATCCCCCTGTGCCAAGTTAATTTTGAGATAATCAGATTAATGCGATGGTACTATCAATAGCGCATGCAAAACACTAGGCACAGTACAATGGGCATGAACAAGAATTGCTATAATAATGCGAGCATGCATGCACAAAGCAGCTCGCTCGCATGAATGAAGCAACCAATCGATAGCGCGCTCGCATGTACAAAGCACTGTAACGGTATCGTGCAACCAGCCTTATGGCAGGATATGAGTTAAAAGTGTACACATTACCTGAGGGAGTTTTTTATCCTCCTCCGAGAGGCAATCCATGGCGTTGTTAAAGACCTCTACCACCAGTGTCTTCTCCTCCTGGGTGTTGAAGTCGAGCTTGGAAACCTGAAGGCCGTACGCCTCGCATTCCTTCTTGCTGAAGCTGAAGACGATCACAGGCTGGAAGCTTCTCTCCATCACCATCTTGACGATCTTAAAGATGTTGGAGGGCCCTGGTGAGACAACACAATGGAATATGTGACAGTATTCAAGTTGAACCCACTGTACATACAAAATCTTTTATGGAAGGAAGTTAAAATGGCGACTTAACTAAATCATTCATACCTTTACCAAGTTTTGTTTTTCAAAATATGTATGAGAAAAATTGATTTGTCTAAGTTAACATTCCTTAAGAATGTGACATATTAAGCTTTCATCTAAAAGTATTCAACAAAGGCCCTAAGTCAATCTGTCAATGTTTCATTTTGTTTAAATCAACAAATTTTGAAGGGTATGAATAGTGTAGATGTTAACTGTATGTAATATTATGCAAAGGTGAACCCACTCTACAACATCCTAAAGGAAGTTAAAATGGCGACTTAATATTGGTGGGGCCTTCATACAAACAGTTGCGTTGGTTGTTGGCTTTTGAATAAAAAATCTCCATGCAAATTGATAAGTATTAATCTAGCTTTCTGGGCAGTTGATACATAGCATTGAATACATATCTAAACCTGGGTCGGAAGAGAAAAGTCTAGAAAGAAATAAAAAATCTGCTTTATCAGAGAGTACAAGTGCTGAGGGTTAGGGTGAGCTGGGATTCAAATTTTGTACTAACAAAGTATTGTTGTCACTGCTGTTGCCTGCTATGTTTCAAATATATTTTTTAATAACTTCAAGTTTCAACCTGCACAACGTCTCGGTCTCCATGATCCCCCCCCCCCCCCCCTCCAACAGTGGTTCTGCAATTCAAGTTCATTTAGTTTTCTAAAATGCGTCAACGAAATTAGTTGAGAACCCTGTCTAAATGTACACTTGTATTGTGCACCATAGAGATGGGATGTATATCTGTAAAGAGCATAGAGACGACCGAGATGTATTAAGCGCTTTATAAAAGCTGAATATTATTATCATTACCTTTTGTGCCTCCACGTCGCCCTCTCTGGTCACCCTTGGCCGCATCTCCTCCGTCTCTCAGGACCTGCATGGCAGCGTTGAAGTTATCCTGACGAAACTCACACTGTCATAGCAAAGTTCACATGACCAACCATTAAAAACGTTGTGATTAACAATTTAAAAAACAGGGTACATGATACAGTATGGTGTAGTTGATATAGTTGAACACTACATTTTTTCCTCCCAATCTATATCATTGGAAATGATACAAATTCCTCTGGGTCACTCATAACTCCACACTCTGTTCCATCTTTTTGCAAAGTTTCTATAGAGCTTAGGGTTATGATCTCTTCCACTTTAGCTCTAGAGTTACGGCATAGAGGATCAGAGGATACGTGAATGGACTGTGGATAGCATGGTTTCTGGTTTGAGTCCCACTGCTGCACTGATAATAATAATAAAAAAACGGTGCTGATAAAGCCCTTTCCACCAAAGTCTCTAGATGCTGATGTCTTTTGGCAAGACATTAATCTACATTTGCCACTCTCCACCCAGGTGAGGTAAATGGATACCCTGTGGGAAGAAATTTATTTATCAGTAAACTCTCACTTACTCCATCAAGTATACCAGGGGAGTGTTTCACAAAGACAAAGATCGACTTTAAGTTAGACTTAACTATGGCAGGCTGTTCATGCCACTGGTTGCTCTCACTATTGGTCTCTCAATTATGATCTTTAGAAACAAATGTTAATTCTGTAGATTTGTGACCATGATTTATACGTCCCCTTCAGAAATCACTGCCAGGAATGGTTAGAGGAACTAGTGGCATGAACATCCTGCGATAGTTAAGTTCAACTAAAGGTCAATCTTAGTCTTTGTGAAACACCCCCCCGTAATCTTTACTATGCAAAATGACAAAGAATTTCTCCCTCTCGGGCACACACAGACTCCTGCCTTTTGGGGATTCTTACCTTCTCATCCACGACAAGATGAAGTCCATCACCTCCCGCTGGGAAGATGTAATGCTGCAGTGGTACAGGACGATACTCGGTGTATACCACATGACAAGGCTGTAAACCATCAAACCAAAAATGATGCAGAAGAATAAGTAGAGAGGTTGAAACTTAATTACAAAGGATATTTTCAAACATTTACTTTAATTTTCTTTAACTCTGTCAGAAATGTAGCAATTTCAAATGAATGAGAAATAATGAATAGTATTCAGTACAAAGCACAATTCTTGGTGTTTTTTAATTTTTATGCATAACTCTTTTTTTGTTTATGCCACATGGTGGGGGAATTGCCGATCTACAACCAGTTTAATAATCTACTATTAGTCCATTCCCATATGGTCTATGACAAGCTTGTCTACTATTCATGTGGTCTACTAATCATTTAGTCTTCTTATCAGTTGGTCTAATGAACATAAAGGATAACAACCATTTGGTCTAATCTTCACTTCGTCTACTTTTCATTTGGTCTATTGTTCATTTAATGTAATAACCAGTTAATCTAATTCTCAGTTTGTCTAATGCCCATTTCATCTACTATCAATAAGGTCTAATAATCATGATTATTATCATTTATAATTATTAGACCATGTGGATGGTAGACGGGATGTGTGTAGTCCACTTGGGAATAGACCAATTAGAAAGTAGGCGAACTGGCTGTAGACCAAATGGCAATAAACCACATGACTCACCTGCTTGTGAAGGTGGCAGATCCACTCTGCAAACTGCTTAGCATTAGGAATGGTAGCAGATAGAAACACATAGTGGACATTGTCTGGAAGGAGGATGATGGTTTCTTCCCAAACTACACCACGATCTGAGAATAGTAACGGTAGAAAGTGGTGGCGGTTATTTTACCTGACAGCTAAGAAAGCAATAAATAGTTGTTAGTAAGCGACCAAAAGAATGACGGCTTTAGGTCCTCTCCGACTGACCTAGTAATGAGGATTAATTCCTTATCAAAGGGCTCTAGCGCATCGACTTGGTATCGCACCGGGGTCACCGTATTACGAGACCACTGCTCTACCGACTGAGCTATCGCGCCTCCTAAGCATACTGGTCATAGCCAACTGATAAATATATACAATCACACTTGCCTTAATAGCAACCAACTATATAAAAGATTGCATCGCTTGTTTCCCTTAAAGGGATTAGGTATAAACTTTATCTCAGATTCTGAAACAAAATCCTACATTTAGCTCATGCTGCAATGATAATTATAAACCTTTAGGTCAGGCAGGAACCCCATGACTTTTACAAGCCGATCACCTGTCTGATTATCAAGTTATTTAAGATTGGAAATAAAAATACAATTTTTCGTTTTCCTAACGGTTTTTATAACATTACAGTCTATTGGGGAAAACGAGTATGGTAAAACTGGTCACTCAAAGATTCTAACTTTTTTAAGCCACTTCTTGATAATTTTGAAGTGCAATTTTTTTTAGGACTTCAATATTACACCATATCACAGACACTGATAACACGACAGGCCATGCATCTCAGATTTAACATTGTTAAACGATGCCTTTAAATGTTTAAGAACAAGATTACTGCAATGATACTCACTCTTGTCTCTCATGTAATGGATCTCATCAAAGATGACCCAGCCGACCTCTCGCATGATCTCTGACCCTCGATACAACATGCTACGTAAAATCTGAAATGAACAATAATAATCTGGATGTACATAGTGTATAATATGAAATAACCTCTCTAAGCGCTTTACAAATATTAATACCCTGGTCATCAGATTCATTAGCACACAATGTGGAGTATTCCTACTATATGGTCATAGCGAAGGCATATGGCAATTACTTAAGCAAATGCTTTTGTCATCCTATTAGGTCCCTATTACTCTCCTGGGTATGGAGTGGCAAATGTAAATGCCAATGCCTTGCCAGAGGACATTAGTGCTGTGTAAGGGATCGAACCCTCGACCATTGCATATCAAGTCAAGTGCTTAAACCACTCGAAAACAACACCTCTACTAACTTAACAATGAATTAGTGATCCATGATTCAAAGTCATAGCAGTTAAGAATTCCTATATATGTATGAACATCTGTGCCAGAAGGATATAAATGTTGGAAAATTGATCCAGGAAAGTCTCCTTTTTAGAGCAACCATACATTTAAGCTTTTTCCTTTTTCTTTGTAAACTACGGTGTAGCACCTACCCTTTTTAGACCAGTGATTCCAGATCACATCGTTGGTTTATAATGAGGTCCTGTTGTTTGAATCTTCAAACTCTCTGCTGTTTAACAAACTGTAAACCTGCATTAGGAACTAGGACACTCATAAAGACATCTGAAACAAAGCCAGTATTTTCACTTTTAAAGATGAAGTTGAGTTCTGGTCATGCAATTGCATTGTGAAAGAAACGGTGTGGAATCGACCAGAAAAGGTTGATCATCTAGCATATAAGAATTTGTGTGTATTGCAAGGTTCTGGAATCATCAAAATGATAAGAAATTTGGCCAAGTCTTGGTAAAATTACAAACACTGTACACAGTAAGATGTATATGGGACGACACGAACACGTGGCGTAAAAATCCTACCCCGGATTTTTACGATGTTACATGACATATTTAGAATATGAAGGCATTTGAAGAGCCATGCTTTTCAGGGAACATGTCTTATCTGATGTTCTTCCACACTTGCATAATAAGAATGATAACGCTCACAAATTATTTTTCACCTCTTCCCAGAACTCAACCTTCTCTTTAAAAGAAATATTATAAATGTAAATAGTTTTACCTCTGTAGTCATGATGAGGCAACTAGCCGATGGATTGATGGTCACATCTCCTGTCATCAGACCAACATCCTGGAACTCTTCAAACAGCTCTCTGTACTTCTGGTTACTCAGGGCCTTGATCGGAGTGGTGTATATCACTCTCTGCTTGTCTCTCAGAGACATGGCTATAGCGTATCTGTACAAATTACCAAGAAGAGAAATGATCACAGTCTGTCCAAATTTGCAAAGCATGATGTGTCTATAACTTGACAGGAATGAATAAGCCATTTTCATAATGAAAATCGAATTTGGTGCACAAATCTTTAAGTGCCTCGTTACAAATTACATCATCTACCTGTTACAAATAATTGTATTTCAATAGTCAGAATGCAAGTTGCATACATTATGTGTTGTTAGATTGGATTAGCCATAATGTTAGTCCTGCTTAGCAAAAATATGCAACTCACATTCTAAATATTGAAATACGCTAATCGATTAGTCATAATAGGTAAATTAAATAATTTGTAATGAGGCATTTAACACAGATTTAAATTTGATTACACTATGAAAATGGCATATTATTTGGGGACTTTAAGCTCATAGGGTCAAAATCTTGAGCTAGGATTGGTTGGACTGGACTGGCTAATAGACTTTGAATGCGCACAAGTTCACTTCCTGGGTGTGTTTCACCAATACCTGAAGCTGGGCTCTGTTTCACAAAACTTGCTATCAATAACAAGTTACAATAACTGTTATAAGCTACTGAAATCATGGCATTTGATTGACTGAGAGCAGATATGTCATAGAAATTTAGCATTTGTTATCGTTAAGCGTTATAAAACAGGGCCCAGGATTTGTCTTGATTGAAAATAGACTCCTAACCAAAGAACTACACTCTTTATGTGCAAGTTGCTAGCCAAAATCCCCTTTAATATGAGTACCGGTATACCTGCATAGTATCCTGTAGCAATGACATTTCATATTTTAAATGTTACAATATAGCATTGCAGAATTTTCTTCTTCATTTCAGTTCATTTTATTTTCACATTTTAATCAAAAAAACAATCACTATGACAATAACATACACATCAAAATAGAAAATAACAAAAATAAGACACAAAGATATTCAAATATGGTGGGATTTTGGGGTGCTGTACAAACATTTTATTCCTATAATGAAATTTTACAGACAGAAAATGAATAAATCCTAAAGAAGATATCATTTTTCTTACTCTGCACAGACCGTCTTTCCAGCTGAGGTGTGAGCAGAAACCAGCACCGATTGATTGTTTTCAAGACATTTGATGGCCTCCTTCTGGAAGGGATCTAGAATGAATGGATAATCCTTGGAAAAAAAATGAAAAAAGGGAGAAGTTCACAGTAATGTACACATAAAAAATGGCAACAATAATTGTTGGTTGAAATAATGCATTATACTTTACACATCAAGCTTGCATTTTTTATGAATTAAACTTGTCTCTTGTCCAGAGCTGCCAACCTTGTGCAACCAAAAAAAGGAACCATGATGGCAAAAAAAAAGAATTTCTTAAAACAGACTTATAACCACATGTGACACACTTCCAAAGCAGAAATGTCTATTCCTCATGCTGGTATTTTCATATTAGGACCTATAGTTTATTTACAAGTACCGGTAGGTTTTTTTTGTAGTTGGTATTATCGGCATTTCATTCTCTTTGAGAATATTTTTCTCTTCAAGTAAGTTTTAACCTTAGTTTTCTATTGAAGTAGTGATACAAATTTAAGGGCATTTGGTGTATGTTTAAAACATAATTAAGAAAATGTATTTTATGAAGAAAAAACGTACTACCGTAATTAAGCACAAAAAACAGAATAATTCTGGGAAAAACGTAATGGTTGGCAGCTCTGCTTGTCCATTTCAAAATCTGGAGATTAGGATCAACACTAGGATATCATCACTTTGCATTGGTCCTCTAATACCATCCATACACCTCAAGGGATTTTACTTTTTTTTAAATCACACAAAACAGCTGGATGTAATTTATATCTACCCAAAAGGTGAAAAAATAGCTTGAAGTCAGAATATGCATTCATTTTAAAAGAAGAAAATTAATTATCCATTACTGATAGCACTACCTTAGGTTTTTTTGTATAACATCATGAATCTTCATTGTCATTTCCAAACCAAAACAACACACATCTCAGGAAAAGTATATTAGACTCATACAAACATTTTGGAAAATCATTCAAAGGCTTTTATATCACTTTTTCAAGATAAATATATGTATAACTGAAAAACTTCTAGTGTTAGGCTTTAAAGTGGACGATGTAACTAACAATATGTTAAATCATATTTGTAACGTAGCACAGTATACAGTCTATCAAAATTATATAAAATGTTCATTTAAAGGGAAAAAATACAGCGCAAATGCTTTATGGGTTGATTTTAAGTTAATGGTGAAATCAACTTTGGAAAGTGTAAGTAAGTATTAATTTGAAAAAAAGAAGCTCAAAAAATTCGATCAATGGTTGCTGTAAAACCTTGATTTATTTTTATTGTATGTATATATGTTATTGTTAATTAATACCTCGAAAGAGGATGAGGAAAAAAAAATGTTAGGCTAGATACATACCTTTGCTGCTTTTTTAGTGGTTGGTTCCAGAGGTTTGTATTCTTCTTCGATCGGTATGGCCACTTCATGAGTACACCCCTCAAGACACTCCACATCATGGGTCTTCACTTGGGGTAGGATCTCTGCCAAACTGTGGGCGCAGAGGTCAAAGGTTATATTTTAATATCTGGTCAGAGTCACATATCAACTGATACAGAAATCGAAATCGTTAAACCTAATGATCAATTGCATTTATTAAAAGAGCAGTTTAATTTGTCCTTGAACAGTATGGCCATGTCATTAGTACATCCCTTCAGCCACTCCAAATCATAGGTCTTCAACACGGACAGGATCTCTAACAAACTGTGCACGCAGAAGTAATAAGTCATCTTTTATTATCCGGTCACCATCACTAAACTGGTACCAAAATATAACATTTAACCTAATAATATCTTGATTGTAATACTTTAAAATGGGAACCTTAATTACAGACTGAGCAGTTTTTCACCTTTATTCAAACTTTTCATAAGTTTGACTTTCCCAGACATATTGAGTCCATAAGAGGAGATTAGTTTTGAGGACATTCTCTAAATATACAGGAGAGATAAGGCACTCCAGCAAAGCATAGAGAGTCAATGCTAATGCGCATTGACCTCTAGCACTGCACTACGTGTTAATAGGCAGCATTTGCAAACATGAATAGTCAATACACTCTTAATAGACAAATTCATGCCGATGTGCCTGATCGGCAAGTTTGACAGTAGACTTACATTTTGAATTTTTAAATTATTCTTTCTAACATCTTTGAGTGAAATCAGTTGAGTTTTGTACAGTGGTGTTTGAAATGTTGAGAATCAATAGCACAGCTTTTAATAAAAAGCCAGGATAGTAATGCACCTATGTGTGAGATAAGGCAGAGTCAACTTACTTGAGTTCTTCTGTGATGAGAGATACTTTGGGCCTCTTGACTTCTGCAGGGTCAGAGGTCGATGAACTCTCAGCAGGTCTCTTATTTGAAGAGCTGCCTAAAGCTTCATTACTGGAAGAAAGAGATATAAAGAGAGAGGTAAAAAGAGCGCAGAGAGATACAGAAGATAGAAAGTGAAACAAAAGATAGAAAGAGGAACAGAAGATGGAAAGGGAAACACAAGATGGAAAGGGGAATACAAGATGGAAAGGGGAACACAAGATGGAAAGGGGAACACAAGATGGAAAGGGAAACACAAGATATAAAGGGGAACACAAGATGGAAAGGGGAACACAAGATGGAAAGGGGAACACAAGATGGAAAGGGGAACACAAGATGGAAAGGGGAATAGAAGATGGAAAGGGGAACACAAGATAGAAAGGGGAACACAAGATGGAAAGGGGAACACAAGATAGAAAGGGGAACACAAGATGGAAAGGGGAACACAAGATGGAAAGGGGAACACAAGATGGAAAGGGGAACACAAGATGGAAGTCACTGGAAGTACGTCGACGACATGTCCATTGCCGCCTCGCACGATGCACGCAACCAGCCACGTGATATCTCCCGTTCACTATCCACTCTAGAAGATTGGTGCCAGAACAATTACGTTAAACTCAACACCAAGAAGTGTTCAATCATGCGATTGTCCTTCAGTAAAGTCCAACTACCCCCACTAGGAGTACTTATTGATAATGTCCCCCTGAACGAGGTTAGCAGTGTGAAAATCCTTGGAGTAACCACTGAAGACACCTTGAAGTGGAATGTACAGGTTTCGGATACGGTTTCTCGTGCTAACCGCCGCATTTTCATGTTAAGATCCCTGAAAGCCTTCTATCCCCCCACCAACGACCTCGTTACAGTTTACATAGGATTTGTAAGACCACTCCTCGAATATGCCTGCCCTGCCTGGAACGGAGCATTGACTATCGCCCAGTCCAACAAGATCGAAAATGTTCAAAAATGGGCATTAAGAATTATACTAGGTAGATATTACATATCCTATTCAAATGCCCTATCAATGACCAAGCTTCAAACTCTCCATGCTCGCCGAGAAGAGCTATGTCTCAAGTTTGCCCTGAAAGCACTGAAATCCGACCAATCAGACTGGTTTAAACTGAACGCCAGCACCAGAAACACACGGAAATCACGTATCTGTATAGAACCTAAGTCCAAAACAGAACGTTACAGGAAAAGCCCAGTCCCATATCTCACCAGGTTACTCAACAACGCATAAATTCCCCTGATTCCTGCCCGATCCCACACCTCTTATTCAAATCGTATGCCTTTTGTTGTTTTTAATACTGCTCAACTTTATACCCATCAACTCATAAAGATTAGTGCATGTAATCCACATTGTAATGAATGGATACACTTGTGTTTTTAACTGTCAAACTGATTAATTAGTGAATATATTTTTTATAGTTACGCACGTTCCCATGTACATTCTATGTCTTTACATATTTAAAGTTTTTACGCATATATTATGTTATTGTCTTAGTAATGCATGATTGGTAAATTGTACTGTTTTTCTCTGTAAGGGAAACTTTGTATTTTACTTTGTAATTTCTTTCTAATCGCCTTTTCCTTGTCGTCTTACTTTCATCATCATTCCGCTTCTCCATGTCTTCACAGTTCCAACTGTTCCATTCTTCTCATTCCACTCCCTCCCTATCTCCCTCTCCCTCTCCCATCTTCCGCATGTCTTCCTATTTTTCTTTCTAACTTAACTCTCTCTCTCTACATCGTTCTCTCAGCATCAGCATCAGCATCAGTATACGGAAGTGTGAGGTGATCCTGTTGAAACTTCCGGTCGTTTCATTGAGTGGTGCTTCGTTCGAAAAAGAACCTTAACTATTTTTGCTCGCATGGCGGGTGGACGGTAATTGTTTAATCATGTTTCTATGATAAATCCTTATATATTGTGTAGCTTTATAGACATTCAATGTGCATTACGGTTCGAAGTTAAACAAATCTTCAGTACTTACTTGTTATAACTCCATTAATCAGCCTCAATTTATATTTAAAATATGAATATTCCTCACTTAACAATGATTACAGAAAAAAAGTAATGCAGAATCTATTTTATTTGTTTCATCAATTTGTTTGTAAGTAGGGAATATGTAATTAGTTATGATCTAACCGACTGTGTATTATGTGTACTTGTCCATATTATCTAAGTTTGTTGAAATGATTTTTAATACATGTAAAACTTGCAATGTAATTTAGCTTTCGAGCTACCATTTTGAAGTTGTCTAATAAAAAACCATTCTACTACATGGAAAGGGAAACACAAGATATAAAGGGGAACACAAGATGGAAAGGGGAACACAAGATGGAAAGGGGAACACAAGATAGAAAGGGGAACACAAGATGGAAAGGGGAACACAAGATGGAAAGGAGAATAGAAGATGGAAAGGGGAACAGAAGATAGAAAGGGGAACACAAGATGGAAAGGGGAACACAAGATGGAAAGGGGAACACAAGATGGAAAGGGGAACACAAGATGGAAAGGGGAACACAAGATGGAAAGGGGAATACAAGATGGAAACAGGAACACAAGATGGAAAGGGGAACACAAGATAGAAAGGGGAATACAAGATGGAAAGGACAACACAAGGGCTCCATCGCAACGAATTTGCAAATGACGCACTTTCCGAAGTGCAAGAGGTATTTATACAATACCCTTGCCAGCTGCCATGCGGTAGCGCTCGTCCAGTATTCGGTCAACGCACTGACATTCAGTGCAGTGCTTTGACGCTAAATTGTGTGAAAATAGTGCACAAATACGCTTCGCTCCTTGTAAACGGAGATACCACGCAAAAATTGTGTGACCGAATACTGGGCAGAAAACTGCTCCTTCTTCTCGCGGAAGGATTTTGCTTAGCATCATTCTAAAGCCCCGATTTTGAGTTAAATTAGTTGAGTTTTGTACAGTGGTGTTTGAAATGTTGAGAATCAAAAGCACAGCTTTTACTACACAGCCAGGATAGTGATGCTCCTATGTGTGATGTTTACCCTGGTTCAAGAAAGTTATGACCTGTGCGATCTTGTTGGTGAGATTACGGTTCATTGTCTACCGCACTACAAATAATATAACAGATGGGACTACACTATAAAACTCGGACGCAGAGTCACTCAAATGATAAACAAACTCACCTCTTTGATGATTCATTCTTTGAGTCTGTAGTTTCTTTGGAAGTTTTTGAAGATGTTTCACCATCAAAAACACTGAATAGATCGTCACCAAACGCGTCTCCCATTGCGAATTTATTGATAACATGTATGGCGAAAAACAGATAATTTTTTTTTTGACCGAATTCTAAAACGTGATGAAACGTAGACTCTTTCCAGACGCTTTTTAATTTATTTTTCATTCGGCCAAAATATGAAGAGACACAGACTAAGTCCGTTTCATAGCTCTGACCAAAGAGATACTACAAAGTATCTCTTTGCTATGAAAAGCGGCTTTCTCGATCCATCGGGGGAAGGGGAATTAACAGGAGCAATTTCTTATCCCTTAAATCATCATTCTATAAATTTAGAAGAAAAACTAAGTCCTGTGTCTAGACTAGCTGGACTACTGCGTGTGTCGGTGTGTGTGTGTGTGGGGGGGGGGGGGGGGGGGGGGGGGGGGGGGGGGTGGTGGTGTATTGAGTTTTAATTTTTGTTCCTCTCTTACAGTATATAACCAAAGTGATATCAAAACCCAACTCTAACATAACCTTTTAGTTGATGTTCAACGCCATCACATGTCATTTATTGGTTCATAGCAAAAAAGGACATGAAATCCTCCAGCCATGATATTTCGACACATTCAGGGATTTATCCTAATTCTTTATTTATGAACATTTCATGAAAATATGTCATGTTTATAGCTAAGGTTTTTTTTCCCACTGAACTAAACTGCTTCTACGCCATTTTGTCCACATTGTCATTAAAGATAAAAACAAGTTAGGTCATTACGTACAATACAAAAGGATTGGAACATAAAAATCATGAAGATAAAAAAAACTAACAAAAATAAAGAACAAAAGGGGAAAAACAGGAAGAATTTTAAATATTTGTGTAGATAGGCCTGTTAAAAAATGGTGGAATATGAAAAACACTAATGATAATACGTAGACCGTTCGAAGTGTGATAGGATAAAGACATTCAGCATTTGTATAATCCCCTTGGAAAGACTGACCACCCCCTCCCACCGCCACAAAATCACTACACTGCAAACAAGAGAACACATATATTAAAATAATTATGAAAAATTTCTACCATCTCGATTAAAATAAAAGTTGATTTAAAGCTGTATATTCTAGGACTAGATTCTCTACGGTAAACACATTCCTGTTTTACAAATCTAATCAGTTACAAGTGGAAATAATACAAGTGGACCCAAAAATCAAATATTTGTTTGAAACGAAATATCAACCATTTCATTGGAAACAGTAAAATCCTTGTAGGGATTGGTAATCTGCCAGGCCAGGCAACTAGTCATAGTCAGAAGTATATTATCTAGTTTTCAGACCTGTATCAGTTTCAAGATACTAATTCTATTTCCAAATATGTAAACAGAATCGTATAAAACTTTTGTTTTAACGTTTAGAAGGCTTTAGTTTTGTCATTTAAATATTTTGTTGAAGTCTAAAACATTGGACACAACTTTCATATTATCGTATTTTTACTAGGTATAATATAAAGGTGTATGTTTAAATAAACCATCAAATGAACATATTCGGGAGTACCCATCTCAAGAACAAAACTGATTTACCTGTCATGAAATGAATTACCCACGAATTTATTTTAGTATTCTATAGTATAATCTGCATAAAAGCTTCTGCTGAACTTTTGAACAAACTACCTTGTCAAACAATGTCAGACTGTCAACCAATTCAAAACTTGACACATTGATTCAAAATTGCTTTTAATGATTAACTTACTCTGTTCTAATTGATGTATTTTTCATTTGTATTGTAATTTGTAGGTTTATTTGTATTTTTTTGTTTAATATATAATTGTTTGTATCGCGTTTAGAGACTTTGTTTTATTATTACTATTATTATAATTCCTGAATTGTTTGTATCTCTTGTCCACTGCTTCTGTTTTCAACCTTTTTATTGCTTCATTTCTTTAAATAATTGCAGTTTTCCTAAATTATTATTAATATTTTGTTGACGTACTGAGATGGAATTGCGACTATAAGGCTAAGTCTTGACTCCTCTTCTCGCCGATGGTATCGTTTTTCATGAGGTGTCTAAAGCTAGGTAATTTTCAATTGCAGTTAGCATACTATATTTGGGAGTTAACCCCTCATACAATATGTATTGATACCGGATTGGTTAATTATTCATTGCATGATTAGAAGTAGACTGCACCATTCCTATATGCAGGTTATTAACCATGATCTTTTGTTTTTTTAACTATCACATGACGGTAGAGCCTGTGATCGATGTTGTATCAGCTAGTCCCTGGTTCGCGACGCACAAAAGTTGAGCAATTTTTTTCTTCCTTCAGCTGCTTTTAGTCGTTTTTAAAGGGCCCATGACATCGAAATACAAGTGTTTTCCTGTTGGTATGCAGTCATATTTTGAATGTAAACTTCTGAATTTGTTTCATAGATTTTGAAAAAAAAATTGAAAAATTTGTTTTTCAAACTTGCTAAGCTCCACCCCAAAAACCTCCAGATCTCATTCCCCTTGTGACATCATCTGTCAGTCATCAATGAGCTAACTTGAGAAAGTGGCATGTAACTTTGCCAAAGTTTACCACAAACAATAGCAACATATAGGCTAAGTTGCTATGTTAGACATGTCAGACTAAGGCCATAAACAAATATACATGTTTAGCGTCTCCGCCCGCTTCCTTTTTGGGGGCTGCCTCCTATTTTATTTTTGTACGATGTTTTTTTTTTTTTTTTTTTTTTTTGAAAAAAAATTTGAATTTTTTTTTTTAAAGAAAACAAACATGAAAAACATTGCTAAAATGGATCTATTTCTGATTTTAAAAAAATAATCGGTTGCCCTCTTGAAAAATAGCCCGACTGTCAGGGGCCATTTTGAAGAAAAGAAGAAAAAAGGGCCTCCTCCTTCCTATTTTTCAAAAAAGCAGGGCGCTAAACATGTTTTTTTTTCTTATTTGGCCTAAACTAATATTCTAGAATAGACAATGGCAGGCGTGTACGCAGAGGGGGGGGGGGGGGGGGGGGGGGGGAGGGGTTGAACCCCCCCTTTAACTTTTTTATGTGTGTGTTTGGGAGGAAAACCGCCCCCCCACCCCTTCGTTGTTGTTTTTAATAATAAAAAACAAATACAAAATTGCGGTAATGGGTGACCCCAAGCTGACCTTACCCCCCACCCCCAACAAAACGAAATATCGATCAGACAAATTTTCAAATTTTGGGACACACAACAAAAATGTGCTCTAAACCCCCCCCCCCCCCCGCGCGCCTTTTCAGCAGCGGGCTAAGTTGTTGCGAAATTTTCGGCGTGTTTTTCACATTTTAACCCCCCCCCCCCCCCTCGAAAAAATCTTGTAATTTCTCCCAGCTTAGCACACGTTCATAATAGAATTGCATGCTTCCATACATACTGTACAATACATTATCATTGCCTTTGTCTTCCTGTTGATGCTACAGCATGTCTGACATAGCAACTTGTATGTTGCTATTGTTGTAACAGTAGCTCTACTATATGGCAAAGATACATACCACTTTCTCAAGTTAGCTCATTGATGACTGACAGATGATGTCACAAGGGGAATGAGATCTGGAGGTATTTGGGGTGGAGCTTAGCAAGTTTGAAAAACAAATATTTCAAAAAATATTTCAAAATCTATGAAACAAATTCAGAAGTTTACATATCAAAATATGAGATGTATGCAGGACTGCTCATCAACAGGAATACCTTTGTATTTCGATGTCATGGGCCCTTTAAGTGGACAGCCCGATTCTGCCCTCAAGGAAGTCTCTCAGTATTCTGGACTAAAAGCAAAGTTTTCAATTTCCACTAGTTTGCGCAAAAGCCGCAAATATAGCTACTATAATTGGCCACTTCTTCCAATTTATATCCCATTTAAATGTTTATCTTAATCAATACATAAACTGACTACCGGCATATTCACTGGTGTCTGGTAAAAACTATGCTGCCCTCGGCATTAAAGTACCTTTTCGTTCGGTGCTGGCCACCTGTGGTCGATAGTTTTAACGAGAATCTAGAGATCAGAGAAAAAAAGGCAGTTTAAATTTTGTATCTCTCATAGATGCAGATCATGATTTAAATGGGAAATATTTCCAAAGAAGCGGCTAGTTATGGAAGTTTTCTGCAGCTTTTGCGCGAACCAACATTATATTCAACTTGCTTTTGCCCTATAGAATACCACAAGACTTCATGAGCACGGCATATAAGGCTGTCCACTGAAGGACAATTTTTTTTCTCGATTAATGTAGGCGGTAGACCCCTGTACAATTATTAATAACTAGATTTGTAATACTTGTTTAGAACAAGTATAGGTGGGCTGATCCAACTAAAATTTGAGACAAAATCAAGGGCATATTTGAGATATCTTATTGTCTCAGCTACAACATACTCGAAGTTCAGCGTAAACGAAGCTAAAACGACGGAGATATTGCTCGCGAAAGACGGAAATGTAGTACCCAGTTTTGAGAAAAAGTAATGTCCCATAGAGAATACACGCAAAATGAGAAAAATTGACATGCCTCCTTAAATCGCAAAAATACGACATGATGCTTTTGTCAAAAAAAATCTAGGAGGAATTATTTGGCGTTCGGCCGTGACAAACGAAAACGCGCGTGTGTGCGCGATTCTTTATGAAATGCTATCGTTAATAATGGCGCACGCGCGCGTTTTTTGACCTGAAATTGACCGGGCTGATATTGACCTTGATCCTGGTAAATATGAATGAGAAATGTCTTTCCGTTATGAAGATATGATCATATTTTGATTTTCACAAAATGGCGCCTAGATGACGTTATCAGTCAAGGTCAAGGTTGAAAACCTTATTGTGCTCTTTTCTTATGCCTATACTGTGTGCCAAATTTCAAGGATTTGATTGAGCCATTTTCAAGTTATTGTGCTCACAAAAAAGTGGTTAGAAATAAGAAAAATATTTTAACGAAAACATAAGGTGTTCTGTATTATATACAGCCCACCTGATAAATAACATAATAAAGGTTATCTAAATAGACGTACTGAGATGGAATTGCGACTATAAGGCTAAGTCTCGACTCCTCTTCTCGCTGGTATCGTTTTTCATGAGGTGTCTAAAGTTAGGTAATTTCCAATTGCAGTTAGTATATATACTATATTTTGGAGTTAACCCCTCATACAATATGTTTTGATACCGGATTGGTTAATTATTCATCGCATGATTAGAAGTAGACTGCACCATCCCTATATGCAGGTTCTTCAAACTTTCCTGAAGCCGTTTGCTGAAGCTTTAACAATAGGCCATTTTCGTAATGTAACCAAATTTAATGCATAGGTCTTTGTGAAGTGCCTCAATACAGTTATTTCATTCACCTGGTAAGAATAATAGTATTTCAAAAGTCAGCATGCAACCTGCATATATTAAGTGTTGCTAGGTAGGTCAAGCCATAATGATTGTCCTACCTGGCAACAACTAATGTATGCAGTTCGAATTCTGTCAATTGAAATACTATTATTCTTATCAGGTGAATGAAATAATTTTTATTGAGGCACTTCAAGACGTATGCATTAAATTTGGTTACATTACGAAAATGGACTATTAAGCCTGTACAGTAAGTAAGATATCTGTAATTTGCATATTTTGGTCAAAGTGAATCTAAATAACTGAAGCTTATTAGTTATGGTATGCTCAGTCAAATGTAGTGATTGGATATTGACAATCGTAGAGCCATCCAACATTGTTATTCATAACAAATTTTGCATGGTGCCTCCTTCGAAAGTGTTTCTTTCATAAAATAATGAAACTAATTTAAGATGAATAATGAGATATGTTTTAGACTTGTCTTTTCAACCCTCATTGTTCAGGATTCCTTTTAACGCCCATTCCAAAAGCTTGCAAATGAAAGAGACTGTCATAAATGTTTTTCTTTTAAGGAAATTGCTTACAGTTTTTTTTCTTCACAATAGTATGATACAATTGCCTGCACAACCTTTCAACTTTGCAGGTGTGTGCCAACAGGTGCATGTAATACCACTCCCAGCAAAAGAAAAGTGGTGAATGTGTATTGTAGACATGCATACAATGGCCATTGAAATGATAATATTAATTGGATGGTCATTGACAAGTGATGTCACAAGTGGAAAGTTGTCTGGAAGATTTTTTTGTTGTGGGCGGATCCCAGTAGGTTGAAGAAGAAATATTGGAAAATCATAAAATGTATGGGACATAATTATTTAGATATTCCTTTATTCACAAAGCGATTATCAGGGCCCCCAGGGAGAACAGTATGAATACTGATGAGGCTACCCTGGGTAAACAAGACATATTATTATTATTATTATTATTATTATTATCAGGACATTATAAATCAACAAAAGCAGAAATGCATTTCCACTGCAGGAGACCTTTAACACTAGTTTTAGTGAGCAGAAATACTGATGTACAGGAGCCGTTATTACAAGAACTTGCTAAAAAAATACTGAATGGCTTGAAATCCAGAGCGTGGCGAGCTTCTTGTGAGGGGGTGTTGTCTTGAGTGCTGTCCTAGACTTGCCAGCGATGTCTGCATTCCAAGAATTTACTCAAAGCAATGTACTCAATGCAATGGCTTCATGGGATGTGCTTCCTGCAAGGCTCCAGATGAGACTGTCCGGACTCCTGGGGGCGGCTACGTTAGAACTGATCTTCAACACAAACTAGGCATCATGAAATGAGGACCCATGCACTAGGACATCAAGAAGTCGGCATTATGATGCCCAATGTAGTGGGAAACAAGTCAATGGTGTGAAAGGCCATAGCTAGTTTCTCTTTGTCCCTAAATGTAATATCATAGAAAATGTGGCAATAGATTATATGCACGGGCTTGTATTAGGTGTTGTAAAAATGCTAGTTTCAGTGTGGTTTGACTCGTCCCATCATAAGAAAACCTTTAACATTTCTAAAGAAATTGACAAAGTTGATGAACGTATTACTCAAATAGCACCGCCGCACTGTACAGGGCGTATCATAATAAAGGATATTGAAGTTTAATGACGATTTATATGAAAACTACTGATTTCATAATCAAGCATTTTGTGTCTGTTGTAAAGGACAGAATGTCCTCTTTTTAATGACACCCCGATCATACTACTACTGTCACAGTTGACTGAATAACAAAGCATTGCTGTCCACCATGTGAAAGGTGCACTGTGCCAAGTTTGATAACATTTCCTTCTTAGACACATAATCCACTCATTGTTCAGCATTTCAATATGTCTGGGCTGACACAAGCACTAGTCTTTAGAATTTATCTGTGAATGCTAACTTGTCACAGTGCACCTTTCACATGGTGGACAGCAATGCTTTGTTATTCAGTCAACTGTGACAGTAGTAGTATGATCGGGGTGTCATTAAAAAGAGGACATTCTGTCCTTTACAACAGACACAAAATGCTTGATTATGAAATCAGTAGTTTTCATATAAATCGTCATTAAACTTCAATATCCTTTATTATGATACGCCCTGTATATGCAGGATGACAAGATGTATTGGGAGCCACTTGAAGTTCTGGAAGGCATCAGAGTATAGATATTTTCCTCTATTTTATAGCATCCCATGCCTCATCGGGATCCTTCCAGATGAATATTTCCAACATTTCTTGCTATTGAATGAGGCCTCATTCATACTGCTTTCACACTCCATATCCTCTTCATGTTTGAAGAAAACTGATAAATTACTTAAACACTTCTGTTTAAGGATAGAGGAACTGTATGGTAAAAGATATTGTAGTTCAAATGTCCACGGTTTACCGCACTACGTACATAAAGTTGAAGCCCTTGTTCCATTGTGGGCAAATTCATGTTTTTACTTTGAAGATTTTAATAGTGACCTGGGTTCATTGTTCCACGGTACGCGCAGTATAGCTGCACAAATTATTTCAAAAGTCTGTCAACAACAGGTCATTCTCAAATTTGAACGTTTTCTCCCTTGTGGATCACCCCTACATGACTTTTACATTGTATCAACCCAGAAGGGCCAAGTAGGAAAGATTTGTGAAAGGATTAGGAATGGTATTTTTGTTGTTGGTAGTGTAAAGCTTTCTAATTATGATTACATATCACCAGTTGCTCGGTTTACATTCCACAAGTCAACGCCTTCCACCATGCTAAGAATATCAGAACAAAAGAAGAGACAACTTCACTCAAAATGATTATGTTGTGAGCTATATGACTCCCTTCCATTTAATATCAGTATCCATCAGTTATTTAACATATAATTATCCACAAGGGAATTTAAAAAAAAAAGATTTCCCAAAGCGACGATGTATCCTTACTTTAAAAAAATTAAAACAAGTTAGCAGATGTTTCTGCATTTATTGATGAATCAAATATTAAACATTCAAATAACAATATTAGTATATAATATAATTGCTTTACATGAAGAGTGAAAACTTAAATTCACACACATAAAAATGCATATATATACCGGTATATGTAATTGAAAACTTGAAAGTATGGAGGTAAGTAAAATAATCAAGATAAATGCAGAGGCCAACTATCATAAGCATGAATGCTTGAGTCGATAGCAGCCGGGAAAGGGGGGGGGGGGGATATGGCGCTGTTATAGGAGTATGTAGGAGAATAGAGTGTCACGTATACAAATTTCGTTCAGAAAGTGGCTAAATAAAAAGTGGAAAGAAAGTAAAGAAATAAAAAAATTGCAAGTGTGTGCAAATGGGTACAAATGGAATGGAAGTTTGGAACAACAGGTCTTCATAAAAAAAAAATTAAAAAAACCTAAATACTCCCCACAGGATGATCATGAAAAATGGGCACTTTAAGGGCGTGAAGGACTTTTATGACTTTTACACGTAACATCATTTTGGTTCCAGCTCATCATGCATACATGTATTTTATATGACATTGTATAATTTACTAACTCGTTACAGAAAGAACATAATTCATCAATTTACACTCACTTCCCACTTTCATTGAAGTATTATATATTTCGTTCATCATCTTCATCTATTCAAAAGGTATGTAGGGGAAATAGCTCACAAAATAAGCCTCCAAGCATTTTTGCAAAATTTGATGATTTTCACACTCCCACATAAAACATATCTACAAACTTCAATAAGATACAGTGAGAGAGAGGGAGAGAGAGAGAAAGAGAGAGAGATGTGGGGAGGGGGAAAGAGGGGGAGTTGAAGGGGTGGGAGGCAGAAAAAAGTGGGCCAGAGACTTCACAAAATGGAGAGTAAAATACATGTATGTATATTAATCACAGCTTTTTGTAAAAGTGTGTTGGATACCATGTATTTAAAGACATGATTACAAGTGGTAAAATAGACTCTTCTCAATTTAATTGCTCATAAAATTGGTTAATTTCTTTTTAAAATGCATTTGACTGTGTACCCATCAAAAGATGTGCAATGAAAAAATATACTGTACATGTGAAAAACTGAAAGGCGCAGGTTTCTAACAATGCCCTGCAAGTGTTGAAAGAACCAAGTCTTCTCTTACAATAAAAAAAACCTCACTAATGATTTACATACCACAATTAAATGAACAGTTTGACATGTGTCAAATTACGTAAAGTTCATGTTATTTTATTTATACATAATAAAACCATATTGACTAGCTTCTAGAAAGTATTGTAACACAAATTCTCCATGGAAATGTTACATCATCTTAGAGCTACTTAAGGTTCTTTTTCATTAACTCCAGACATCAGCAACTGGTGGATGACACAATAAAAAAAAATCATGTATGGACCTTGTCTGAGCCATAGATAGATGTGGAGTGAGATGTACTGTAATCCCTCAAGGTTATCTATTAGGAACTCTTTAGGCAACGGGGCAGAGGGGACGGATCTCCTTGACCTTAACCTTGAGGTCACCAGTCATGGGCATTGCAAGAACGGTGTGGTCAAGCGTGAATTTTTTGCCAGGCACATTTACAGCTTCTCCAGCCATAAACAGCATGTAGCGTTCCTCTGCACAGAGAAAAGAAGAATCATAAGTACATGAAAATTCATGCACTTTGTTTACTGTGAGTTTACAAGACATTAATTATTCACTATTTGAAAAATCCATGCCAAATGTCAAAGTTAGTAATACTGAGCAAGCAACTACAATGGCGTGTTTCATCGAAATGCATAATACAAGAGTTTAAAGGTATTTCCTGAATCCTTATTTATCCCATACCAACCGTGCAATATCAAATCATTCCAATCACATTGTCTGTTAAGAGCCAGAAGGGCATTAATTCTATCAAAAAACATTATACAACGTCTCGCGACGAGACCGATCACTTTTCTCTAACTTCTAACCAATCAGAAGGCCTTGTTTTTTTCTCTCCAGGAAGTGCCGGTGGGCATTAAAGCGCCAAATGTGTTTCCCAAATTGCAAAAGGTCCCTAGTCTTGAAGGGGTAGGAGAAAGCAATTTGACGTCATATCACTCCAGGAAGTGCCTGAAAATGCGCCTAATGTGGTTCTTAAATTGCAAATGCTTCCTACTCAGGGAAGGGGTTTCGAACCCATCCCAGACCCACCCCGCTTGGTCGGTTCGGTCCCTCGCTGCTGACGCCTCGCCGCTGTCGCTTCGCCCCATCGTTTTTCATATAATATTCACCCGGTGCAATTTTGTCCCCCCCCCCCCCCCCCCCCCACAAAAGCACTACACTGCAAACACTTCAGTCTCTAAGGGCGCGTTCATGCTTGATTTTGAAGGCAGAATGAGCGATTTGTAACGCTCATCGTAAACGCTCATCGTAATCGCAGTTCCACGGTGCACTGTTCATGCTCACTTCTCCAGGCAATTCTCCTTGGGTGGCCTTCAGCTGGATTCGCAAACCTGTGTGCGCATGCTACGTAGAACCACTAGAGGTCAGTGCGTTGACCCCATTTAAACGCGTTTACAAATTGTAAACGCATCTTTTTGTGAGTTTACGATCGGCGATCGTGATCGCCGTTTTTCGGTGATTCTGCAAAAGTGAGCATGAACGCAAGCGTGTTTTAAACTAAACGCGTAACAGATGCCTGATTCTGGCCGTCAAAATCAAGCATGAACGCGCCCTAATAATAAGCTGATGAAGTGTGATCGATTCAGATATATCTCACCTGTCAGTTCAACGTTACAGACATCGTTCCTGATGAATCCGACGATGGGACGATCATCTGCATACAGGTTTATCGAATTTGTCAAATCATTCAGAATCTTGGCTCGTCCATCCGGCCTTACCTTGACGATGAAAACTGTCAAACAAACAAACATGATGAGTTAAAAAAATTTAGTACTTCATGCACATCCATAAACATACATACAAACACAAGTATGTGAGATCTTTATATGTTTACTGATTAATAGTTACAAAATTTGAAGGGTTAAAATTGAACATCAATATGATTTAGTATCTCGTTCACAGTGTCGTTGACAATGGTTGACCTAGTGATAAAGGTCGTACACAAAACCAATCAAGGAATTAGGAAGAAGTCAGACAAACTAATCTAGCATTTTTTGCAGCCAACAACAAATTCTGTAGTCAAGAACGTTGCGGAAATTATGAATATATCGTGTATGTCCTATCTGTGAAATTTAAACGTTAGCAGTGTCCTAATATTCAAATTATGCAAGGAAACCCGATTACTTGCTAGACTTCACTAGACTAGACTCGACAACTAATTGTCGTTTTTTACCCACTTAAAGACATTTTCAAGCCCCTTTTTTTAGGGAAGTTCTAAATTAGTATTATCTTTCAAATGCCGTTGGAATTTAACCTTTTCATTTTTTTGGCCTGCAAATGGGACATACACAGTAAAAACGCTGTTTAAAAAAGTGATGTTCACTTACAGTTGTACACTATCTTAAACAACAGTTGATCAAATTGTAAACAATGTTGCTCGAAACAGAAGTAATTTTGTTAAACATTCGTTGTTTAAAATTTAATGACTGCTATACTTACTATACGAGAGCTTTTAGACAGTGTTGTTTACATATGACGTCATGTGCCTCGTGCCAGTTAAGTGCGTGTTGCTAAAGGCTTTATTTCACATTGTTATGTTTAGAAACAGGTTCCTTGAAACTAAAATGCAATTGAAATTGACATGCCACTTAGAAATGCAGTGCAGCTGTTAAGGCACAGCTCATTGTTATTCATATTAGATGCAAGCGCAAGTGTATGCAAGGGTCTTTAATTGTTGACTACACAGATTGATACATATGTAAAAGCACATGGACATTGAGTCTGGATCAAACTACCAAAGCAACCACACGTGTTTCTGCAGGCTCCATCTTGTTTGTCTCTATACTTACATTTATTTAGCTTAATAGTTATTACTTTCCAACCCACAACACAACATCATGGCCGACCAAGCTACCGACGCGCTTCTAAGTGACTGGGGATTCAATGGCTTAATTGAAATCACTTTTCTATTAACCACTTTGAAGTTTTTAACTTATAGCGTAAGTTCACAGTTAAAATTTTCGGTATCTGTACGCAAATGTCAGAATATAGGTAGACTTAAAATCGTCGCGTCATGCAGTGCGGCACTGATCGCGCACTCGGTTATAACGTGTGCTAAATTCCTTGCCATAGAGATTGCATGCATTCCTATATATGCAGTTTATACGTGCGTGCATGCGCGCTCATGCAAAATGGGCACTGTTTTGGCGCTAATTCATGAATTGCAGAATTACCCTAGTCTTCATATAGAGACCCAAAAGTAGTGGTGCACTTATTCAGAGTATCAAACCCAAATTATACCCCATTATACAACCCTTTTGTTGTAAACAACCCCCACTGAACAACAGCTCCTTTTTAAACAACTTTCTTTAAACAATTAACCCAGTTGGTTTAAACAACCCCAACTGAACAACAGCTCCATTTTAAACAACTTTCTTTAAGCAACCCAGTTGGTGTAAACAACCCCCACTGAACAACAGCTCCTTTTTAACCAACTTTCTTTAAACAACCCAGTTGGTGTAAACAACCCCCACTGAACAACGTACAGCTCCGTTTTAAACAACTTTCTTTAAACAACCCAGTTGGTGTAAACAACCCCCACTGAACAACAGCTCCTTTTTAAACAACTTTCTTTAAACAACCCAGTTGGTGTAAACAACCTCCACTGAACAACAGCTCCGTTTTAAACAACCGTCTTTAAACAACACCGGTTGTTTAAATTGTGATTTTAAACAAGTTGTTCAAAATGTTGATCAACTAAGTGTTTAAACTTTAAACAACTCGAGTTGCTTAACACTTTAAACAACTCTTAGATCAGGTCACCCGTTAATCAAGAGTTGTTTAAACTTTTAAACAACTTGTTCACAAAAATTTTAACTGTGTAGTACCTTTAAGCCTCGCTTCCACATGATGTGGTAAACGCCATGGATAAATAAAACCATTTGAAGAAAAAATGTACAACAGGTGAGGGTGGAAAAAGTATCAGCATGTTACAAAGTTCCCTTACCCTACTTGAATATCTGGGGGTAAATGTTTAGAAATATAAAGCACACTGCATGTGCTGATGTAATTTCATTTTGTGAGCGTCTTTAGTTTTTATAGGGCGGTGTACCACTTTGGGTTTGAGTGATGATTTGACACTGGTATCAGAGTGAGTGAGAAATGGTGATAGTGAGTACTTACTGTTGTCAGAATCACAAATCTTCTGTTCGAGGTCATCTGGAGCAGTAACTGTAACCACTGGGCAAACTACTGTAGAGGAGAAAATAAAAATAAGAACTAGAAATTTAATTCGTCATGGGGACGAATTAGGTGGTCTGTTTTCAATTTTCATGATCATGCTCATCTTTAATTCAATGATCCAATATAATGATGTTAATTTTAAATGATGTATTAAGATATGAATTGATGAATGAAGTATCGATGAACTGATGAACTGATAGATTGAACTGATGTGAAATGAACTGAATTGATGAGCTAAACTGATGAACTGATGAACTGTGACCTGAACTGAAGTTAATAACTTCACCGATAAACAAAATATTGAGAAATGATTATGATCGAAATCATGATCATAATGAAATTTAATCAAACAAGACCGGAATGTAGAATGCATATTTCAGAAAAAGTCACCTCCTATAGATATGCCACGCAAATTAAGAAATTCTGACACGTCGCATTTAAACGAAGTTTTCTCTATGATGACGTCATCAAAATGAAAAATGGTGAGATATAGATAAAGAGAAGGAGAGCAGGAGACGGGTTATAGTCATGTAAACATACATGAGCTGGACAGAGGGATGAAAGAGGAATCAGAATGCATTCGGAAGGAGAGAGTATAGTATAAGAAAACATGGTAGGGGTGAAATAATAATACTAAGGGCAAAGGAAAGAGCTAGAGAAAATTAAGGAATATCACAAGACATAGAGGGAGAACAGGAGCCAGAGCCAGATAAGGGAGAGGGCGATAGGGATGAGAGACTAGAGAAAGAGAGAGGCAGAGACAGATGGAAACAGAGCAAGTGAAGAAGAGGGAGGCAGAGCAAGAGAGGGAGAAGGTGAATGAGTAGAGAGAAAGAGAGATAGTAGTCGAAGAAGATGATAACATCAAATAAGAAACGAAAGCAAAAATATATATATTTTTTAAATTGACCCACCGGGAATCGAACCTTGGTCACCGGAATGGAAGTAAAGTGCGTTACTGATATACCAAAACATTTCTATTCAATCTTTCATTATTGCAAGGAGTTTTTTCCAGATCGGCTAAAGAAAGCTTAAACACCAGTCTTTAAATGTGGTGACAAGTGTGAATTTACAAACTATAGACCAATTTCTGTACTGTCAGTCTTCTCTAAATTATTCGAGCGCATTGTTTATAAAAGAACTATTGAATTACTTGACAAACATTCTATTGTCAATAAACATCAATATGGTTTTCGTAGGGATTATTCAACATGTATGGCTCTAACCGGTCTTTCTAGTAAAGTCATAGATGCATTTGAAGCAAATGAATTTGCAATTTGAGTTTTAATAGATCTGTCAAAGGCCTTTGACACAATTAATCACAATATTTTACTATCTATATTCGTTATGGAATACGCGGTGTAGCTCATAAATGGTTCACCAGCTTTCTTAACAATCGATTACAATGTACTAAGCATCAATCCCTAATTTTGGAGTTTAGGACAGTAACATGCGGAATTCCACAGGGTAGCCTGCTTGGGCTACTGTTATTTATATTATATGTGAATGATATTTATAAATCTGCTAATGTATTTTCTTTTATACTGTATGCAGAAGACACAAACATATTTGAAAGAGATTCAAACTTGAAGTCTCTTATGGATACAGTAAATCCAGGTCTTATATATACACTGTTGGTCATAATGGTGGAATATTTATTTTTCCCCCAGTTTAGGGAAGGATTTAAAAAAAAAAATTATTTCTAATAGATCTAGATAATGGCATACATTCTTAGATTTTATTGAATATTGATTTGTGAGTTTTTGTTTTGCATGACTGCTTAATCATATGTGTGCTACTATGCTAATCAGATAAGGGACCTACGTCCTTAAGTCATAATTGACAGTAATGAGGATTAATGCCTCACAAAAGGGCACTAATATATAGCTGATCGACACGATTTTTATCCTGGGGCCTCACAGTAACGAGGCCATTGCTTAGCCCCTGAATCATGACTGTACACAGTGTTTGCTAGGGTACGCGGCCCCTTCCACAAATCCCCCAAAACGAAGAAAATGCAATAAATTGTCAAAAATTCATTGCATTTTCCCCCGGCCCCAAACAGGAAAAATTCCTCCGTGTGGTCATGCCTTGAACCATAATGCATGGCCCTACAGAGGAATTTTTCCTGTTGGGGGCCGGGGGAAAATGCAATGAATTTTTGACAATTTATTGCATTTTCTTCGTTTTGGGGGATTTGTGGAAGGGGCCGCGTACCCTAGCAAACACTGCGTACAGTCATGATTCAGGGGCTAAGCAATGGCCTCGTTACTGTGAGGCCCCAGGATAAAAATCGCGTCAATCAGCTATATTAGTGCCCTTTTGTGAGGCATTAATCCTCATTACTGTCAATTATGATTTAAGGACGTAGGTTCCCTAGCTGATTAGTATAGTAGCACACATATGATTTAGCAGTCACGCAAAATAAACACTCGCAAATTAATATTCAGTAAAATCTGAGAATGTATGCCATTATCTAGATCTATTAGAAATTTAAAAAAAAAATAAATCCTTCCCTAAACTGGGGTAAAAATAAATATTCCACCATTATGACCAACAGTGCATATATATATGTAAATGGTTCAAATCTAATAAATTATCTGTAAATGTAAATAAATGTAATTATATGATTTTCACAATGGAACAAATGCAGATTTAAATGATCTCAACATTGTTCTTGATAATGTCATATTGCCAAGGGAAGATAAAGTCAAATTTCTTGGCGTTTATTTAGATAGTTCCTTGTAATGGAAATACCATATTTACGAAGTTGAAAGTAAGGTGTCCATGGACCTTGTGGCAGATTAGCCCTGTGCTAAATAAGTTATCCAATAAAGTCTTCTACTACTACTACTACTACATTGGCATTATATCCAGACTCAAACATTTATTGCCAATCACATTCTACGTATGTTAAATTGTGCTCTTATACTGTAATCTTGTTTGGGCGAATTCCTGCAAGTACATAATTTAAGACCTTACATTATTGCAGAAGAAGATTATTCGTATAATATCCGGAATGCACTATCGCTCCCATATTGGTCCCGTGTTTAAACAAATTATTTTCTTGAGATTCAGTGATATCAACTTGGATCAACAGGGTATTTTCATGTATAAAAGCATGAACAACATCTTCCCATCACAATTTAGTGATCTTATCAATTTTCAATGCAACTCGGAAACTCATACGTATAATACGAAAAGCGCTGCCAACACTCATGTCCCTAAACATAGAGCCCGAAGATTTCAATTTGATATTCGATACTCTGGGCAAAAATTGTGGAACACCTAACCATCTATCCTACAGAAGTCGCTCTCCTCGCAGACCTTTCCCCGTAAGGCAAGAATGTATTTAATTGCTCGATATTAATAACCTCTCTTGTATTTATGTGTGAAAATGACTTCTTTTCGAAATCAATAACAAGTTGTATGACCAATGATTTATTTATTTTCATCACTTACGTAAATGAATCAGCTGTTGCTAGGTACCATCTGTATATATTCCCCAGGACAGTGCTGTCGGATGAAGCTGCTGTTTGTTGGTTGAGTTTGCTCGTTTGTAATGCTATGTACCCGCTATCTATTTTAGAATTGTAGTACTTTGTTATTGTTATGATGTAATCGCAGACACATGCACACCCCGATTGAGTTAACTTTCTCTCTTTAAGTGAACATGCCTTCCTATACTTAATTCTCTTCTAATTTGTTTTCCTTTCCTTTTTAAAAAAATATTTCATACCAAAGTTCTGTTATACAAGCTATGCTTTTCGGGTTTTCGCCTCCTTCCGTATCTGAATTATTTACTGTATACTCTGTTTAAATCATTGTCACATATACAATTTATATATACATTATGTTTTATATTGTAATGTTGAGTAGGAAATAAATGTTAATAAATACAATAATACAAGCTACAAAGTTTAAACTGTGTAGCATATTGACCATTATGGAAGATAGATTCAGACAATATGACTATTGACCTCGTACAATGAGCAGTTGCATCTTTGACCCTAATTGATATAATGAAAAGTGCATTTTTACAATTTTATCTTATTCCAGGAAATGCTCTATCCGTCAAGTTCTACCAATATTGTGCTGCGCAGAGATTAAATTGGTTTATTTTGGGTTATTACAATAAGTGGGTTATTGATGTAGAACAAAGCTCATGTACCCTAGCAAGCTCATTTTATGTACTTAATTACCAGAGAAAAAAAAATCACTCAGTGAGAGTCTGACAGTAAAGTTTAGACAGTAAATGGGTTTCACACAATTGAAGATTTGCTCATGATCCCATCATCTGATCAAAAAACTAAAAGCACCGTTTTTGTAGCCCATGGTCTCAGCTATAACATACAAAAAATGTGGGATAGAATAGAGCACGAATAAGCGAGATAGTGCTGAAAGATTAAGGCCATGTAGATTCACGATGTGAACGAAATTCACCTTCCATAGACAATACACGCAAATGAAGAAAATTCTGACATGTCGCCTTTAATTGAAATTTTCACCATGATGACGTCATCAAAATGGAAAACAATGGACACTGATCTTGTAGAGAATTGTCTCAGCTACAACATATCTAAGTTTGGAAGTAAATCAATCAATATTTACAGAGATACAATCAATTTGCCATACATATGATGACGTCATAATATGCAAATTCGTTTTTTGAGTTCCAAGGCCATTATGATGATGTCACGATATATATAATGGCCAAATGAGACCTAAAATCATATTTCCAACTCATATTCTATCCAAATATGAGAAAAAATTGGGGGTTTTGTGGACTTCCTAAAGAGCTATAATGGATTTTGTATAGGCATGTTTTTGCCCATATATGCTATGTATTACAAGATCACGCGCGTACGGACATGTATTTTAAACGGACGCTAATTCCGTCAATAATGGTCATGAAAAGCTAAACATGGTATCAAATTATTCGGAAAAAGATAAGGAATACCCTCGTCAAAAAGACGTACTCGAAAATTATTCTTCGTTTGGCCGCTACGAACGAAAACGCGCAAAAATGCGTGTTTTGCGTGATTTTTATGAAATGCGTAAAATGGCCTGAAACGTATCCAAAATGAATTTGAGGCGATTTGGAGCATTTTGAAATTTGCGCGCGCACTGACGCGCGGACGTACGCGCACGCGCGCGTTTTTTGACCTGAAATTGACCGGACTGATATTGACCTTGATCATGGTAAATATGAATGAGAAATGACTTTCAGTTATGAAGTTATGATCATTTGAGATTTTCCAAAAAAAACACAAAATGGCGCCTGGATGACGTCATGAAGACTTGATGACCTTGAAAAGGTTACTGTCACGTCTCATGACAATGACCTATGACTGTGCCAAAATTGAAAGAAATTGACCGGACGGATCTTGAGTTATCCTGTGAACAAAAAAGTGGAAGAAACTAGACATAATACTTGTTTTGAACAAGTATAGGTGGGCTGGTCAACTTAAATTTGAGACAAAATAGAGCAAAAATAAGCGAGATACTGCTTAAATATTATTAAAAAATCAATATCATGTATATTCAAGACGTAAACGAAATTCACCTTCTAAATGCATAACACGCAAATTATAAAGTTTTGACATGAGGCCTTTAATCGAAATTTTTACTACAATGACGTCATCAAAATGAAAAATGGTGTTGACTGAGCTTGTAGAGAATTGTCTCAGCTACATCATATCGAAATTTGGAAAAAAATCGATCAATATTTACAGAGATACAATCAATGTTACATAAATTTGCTGACGTCATTATATGCAAATTCGTATTTTGAGTTCCAAGGTCATTATGATGATGTCACGATACACTTAATGGCCAAATGAGACATGAAATCATATCTCCGACTCATACTCTATCTAAATATGAAAAAACATTGAAGGTCACGGTTCATTCCAAAGAGCTATAATGGATTTTGTATAGGCATGTTTTTGCCCATATATGCTATGTAATAAAGG